GGTTGACGAAGATTAAAAGCTTGAGGTGTCGATTGAACCGGTTGTCTCTGAAATGACGGCGGAGGCCCTAAATTGCTAAGAGTAGGAGTCGGAGGGCGGTCTCTTTGTTCTTTAGGCTTGGAAAAAGACTTAGCTTCATTTTCCTTCCGATCCGGTCGCTTAATGGGATCAAAACGAACTTCCTTTTCTTTTTGCGAACGCGTAACGGCAAGAGTAGACGAAGGAGGCGCTCTCCAAGCTGGAACCAGAGACGTTGTAGACGCGTTGTAAACCTCGTTAGAAAGCACGTCTTCTCCATCAAATTGAAGTCCGGCGTAGCTAGTCATGTGGGGCGGTAAGTCTCGAGAAGGCTCACGACCTTTACCTTTCATTTGACTTGAAGTACCCCTTTGGTCTCGAAGGATTTTGGCTACGCCACCATCACTTCCAAATGCCCGTGGAAGGTCTGAACCATCGGAACGGGCCAATCTACCTTGAGGAGTGTAAGCTACCAAACCTTCGTTAATACACGCCTTGACTTCTGGGCAGTTGTGCAACCCTAGACGATGGTTTACTGAGTCGCAGAAGAAACACCTTAGTTCACGCATAATCTGAGACACTGAAGGGTTGTTATTAGTTGTAATGTTCATAGAACGTAAGAACTCAGTGTGGGCGAGTTTAAGATCCTCCATTTGCTTCGTTATCTTGTCCACGGGACTGATCCCTACAGGTTCGGCAATCGGAGCAGCAGGAACGGTCTTTTCAAAAGTCGTCTTCTTCTTGGTCGGCTTCTTCTTCTTCTTCGTGATCGTAACCTTGTCAATGTCGTCTTCCGAATCACTCGAAGAAGAATCCGAATCTGAATCAGAGTCGAGGTCAAGGTTTGACGAATCGACTTTAGCATCAAGGTCGTCTTCATCAAATTCAGCACGTAATAAATTTAATAACGTGGCGACTTCTGGAGGGGCGCTAGTCTTGAGATTTGCAACTGGAATCCGTTTCTTGATTTTTGTACGAAGGGAGGTGGGAATCCCTCTATAAAAACATAAAGAGACGTCGTTAGCAAGCATTCGGGTGGGGGTCAAATTCGACGATAAAGCAGTGAATTCGCGATAATACTTGTCAACTTCTTTACGAGACGTGACAAAGCCCGTTTCTCCGTGTTTGAGGCACCATTGTCGTAGCCTATCCGGGGAATTCGCAGGCACCGCATCGTTTGACCCATAAAGATCTAAAAGATAAGTCCTCGCTCTAACCCAGTCATCTGCGGAAAAATGCGCAGACCCGCTAATAACCTTGCAGACTTTAGTATGGCAATAACGAAGAACGTAAGATGGAAGGTGATTATGAGGAATTTTAGCACTATCCGCGTGCTGCTCTAATGAATCTAAAAAATCATTTACACGCTTTCCTTTGAACAAAGGAGCGTTAGCAGTTCCCGGTGTAGGCATAGGTATACTAAGAGTAGCAAGGCTAACGTTGGATTCCAAAGATGAAGTTGAAGGGGAATCCACCATAATGAATGAAAATATAAATTTTTAAAGAAAAAGTTTGACAACAAAAGGGAGAAAATTTTAAACGGAAGACTTAGCGTTTGAGAAGCGTCTTTTCACAGAAATGGAGAATTTGATAGAAGCCTAGCGTCGTCTTGAAAGGATGCGTACTTTCGGCGTTTATTCGGTTTAATTTCGGGTGAATATATGCGCCTGAAAGCCAAGCAATCAGCGCAATCGTAAGAGAAGGGACGTACCACAAAGATTCTTGAGGGGTTGTCTAATCGCAGAACGGAAAACCAAATCCCCTGTCTCGGTCACCACTGTGGAAGAACAGAATTTTAATTGAAGGACAGGTGATCTGGTTGTCTACGAAGAACCAGAGTAAAATGACAGAAAAGAAAGGAGTGAGAAGAACGTTCGAAAGGTTTGCACAAAAAGCACAAGAGGTACGTCGAGCGAGGAAATAAGATGAAGACAAAGGGAAGGACGAAAACGGAAGCGCCGGTGAAAGTGTGGGAAGGCCTTAAAACGGAGGGAGAAAGGTAGATGCTAAATGAGGAACTTAGCGGTGAGCGCGTCCAGGAACGCGCCGTTGAAGGTTGCTTCGACGAATCGTAAAGATACTTCGTGCACGTAAAGCGGAAAGCTTGAAAATAACTTGAGAAAACGACGTAAAACTCTTAAAATCTTATGAGAATGCCAATGGTCGACTGAGGCTCAGACTGAAAGGTGAGGGGGAGAAGACAGCTCCATTCGAGAGGTGGGAGGGCACCTTTATACTGTACAAAAATATCGAAATCACAAGGCTACGCACGTACTCTCATGCAGCCTGACCAAAACTTTGGGGAAAAGGTAAAAATAGAAAGAAGTCATTAAGTTCTGTACAGAAAAGCGAAAGAAGAATTAAAATTAAAAATGACATCACTCACGCATTCCCTCAGCACAATCCTCGGACTAGGAATAACTCGGGGAACGTACAACGTCGGGAGAGGTCTATTTGCGTGCGCGACTGCCGCCCTCAGTGCGGATGTCCCGAACGTTGATGCTCTACCCTACCGTCTAGTCTTCAGAACGAGCGTCGGTTCAACGGACTTTGTCAAAAATACAAGCACTAAAAGAATAATAAATACAAAGACAAAAAAAATGAAAGCGTACTGATCAAGTCCTAGCCCTTCAAAAGGAAAGCGTTGAACGCGAAGGTGGGTCGATGCGTCACGTGGCTCATACGTCTAATGTCCAACCTAGACTAAACTCGACGTTTAAGATTTTTAGTAAAGGACTCGTCTCAAAAACATAAATAACAAAAAAGTAAAAATATGCGAAGTGCGCCATGAATGGAACAAGGTGCACTTCCACAAAGGTCAGTGCCGATTTGAGTGAAGTTGACCTAAAAATGCGATATGTTACAAAAAATGGGAACCAATGTATGAAAGGGTGACTTACTTACGCCCGAGTCCGAAATCTACTGATACTCAATTCCTGAGAATACTATATGCTGGTTTATTGACAACGTACACTCGAGATAAAGTGCCAACACTCACATAACATGCATATACGGACTCTCAGCACACGCTGATCCTCAGTTTGTGAGTTTGTCATACTTGAAACCCTTCAATGAATATAGGAACCTCGTGAGCGCGAGTTGAAAGCCAAAAGTAGAGAGAATATCAACTGACCTTGGTAGCTACCACTCCTGCACATCGTAAGACCCTTCAAAAGCGACGGAGATCCAGAACGATGCCGGAGTGGTCATAGGTGGATGTGGTATGATGACAAGTTGAATTTCAAACTCCGACAAGCTCGATGAGAAATATAAACAAACAAACGTGTCGCGATGATTAGGAACGACATGGCATTCAACCAACCTTAACCGCCTCGCCTTCCTGCTTGTATTAGAATACAGAGTATATGCTTTACCTATTCTTAGTTAAGGAACTGCTGATTTTCAATGGCAATATTTGGTGATGAGTGTTTTGTGTTCTAAGCTAAAGCACTTGATTCCAACTTGATTCTTCTCCAACGTTGATGGTCACCAGCAACTGATTTTATAGTCTGTTTGATGGATCCCTTAAAACGGCATGTTTTGAGACTCTCCACCAAGAAAATTTCCTTTTTCACGGGCCTGCTATCATCAGTCGTTCAAGCTTTTATCACCAGATGATGTCCAGAGCACAAAAAGGTCCCCAAGGGAGCGATAAAGGCTCTATTGTATTTAATTTAGGGGCCATTGTGTAGGTGGGTGTCTTGCATAGGAGCTAAGATTGAGATAGATGAAAGCACTCAAATGAAGTGTTCAACAGTGCACACTTCGTTCAAGCGTCGAGAAAAGCACCCAAATACGATAATACAGCCGTCACAAAGAATGACGTAGTCTCAGAAGCCTTCGGCTTTGACCTTCGAACTTCCCTGTCAGTGTCACGTCAGCCTAGGCTCGTGACCATCCGTTTCTTCAAACTCTGCAAGCTCCATTCAAGAAACAGCTGGGACAAACGAACACCCTTTGGCAGGGTCACGCTTTTGTGACGCGGGACTTAGTGAAATTTCATGGTTCACACTATGTACTGTACAACCACAATGACATGCACGACTCGACCACTACTCACCCCTTCCCCCGAGTCTTCATCAAAACCAAGGGGTTCTTTCCCAAACCTTCCATCCTCTCGATCTCGTTTAGAGCCTCCCTCTGGCTCTCTTGCAACACTCTCATCCACCACCGCTTTTGCCGACGTCTTCACCTGGCATCGCCGCTGGATTTTTGACTCATATTAGTTGGGGGTTTGAGGTTTTCAGGCCCTGGCCACAGGTTAGTTGGGGGCTGAGAGTTCCTGGAGCTGGCAGCTCAGATGGTGGCCAGAACACGGTAGGTGGTAATTTTTTGCCTTTGGTACAGTCCACGCATGTATCCTCGCACGATAATGAATTGGAATCGGGATCACGCAGACTGGTGTCGGGTTTTCCGAAATGTGTGGAGAGAGGACCTATAAGATCTGCAATATTTGTGTGAAACAGTCCCAGATTCCCTGCAGTCTCCCAAACATCGCATCGCTTCCACTTTTATGGCCACTTCAGATCAGTTCGAGAGCACGTAATGGAGTGATGGATGGCTGGTCACCCGCGAGTACATGCTCGGCAGCTCCGTGGCGAGCCTGTTGAAGAAAGAGTTGTTGGAGTTGTCAGACAAACGTCGTCATAGCTGCAGTCCTCAATCCTCGCAAGGTGTCGAAAAAAATCTACTTTTTCAATTCTACTGTAATTGGATTATTTGAATTAAATGATCTATCTAAAGGTGTAGCCAGAAAAACCTTTTTTTTTTTGATGTTTCGGACGGGTGTTTTGAGGTGGGTGAATGTTCGCGGAAATTTCTCTAAGTCAGCGTCACACGCAGGGGTCCCTGCCAAACTGTGTTCGTTTGTCCCAGTCGTTCTGAGCTGTTCTTATTTTTCGCAGTCCGCCTGATGTTTGACCCCACAACAAAGCCACAACAAGTGGCAAATACCTCAGAACGACTGGCTAGCGAGTCTAACGTCAGCCGTCACCGTGATTGACGTGATGTCCAAATAAGCCAAAGCATTGCAACAGTTGCCAAACAGCTTTTGAAATCTTTTTGGTCCTGACCCCCATTCCCGCCCAGCCTCCCTCGTCGATACTCCCCTCGGCCTCGTTGACGCGGCATCCACACGACGTGCTTGCCGCGTATGGACGCGAAAATGCCCAGACACCAGAGAGCGACGCAAGAGACGTGACGGCAACGTGCCCAAACGCGACGCGACGCGACATGCAACCAACCAAACGACTGACATCGACTGTACGCGACCGACGCATAGAGCGAAAATGCCCAGACAAGGAAAATGCCCAGACACGAGAGACGCGACACAAGAGACGCGACGGCAACACGCCCAAATGCGACGCAACATGCAACCAACCAAACGACGGTACGCGACCGACACATCGCGCGAAAATGCCCAGACACGGGAGACCCGACACACGGCAACATGCCCAAACGCGATCGACACATCGCATCGTGCCGGGCCTTTATTGGCCAATGGGTAGAGTGCAGGCGATGGGGGTGTTATGTATGTGATTCTGTATGCCCCCCTCCCCTCCCCTTGTTTTGAATCTGATATCACCCCTTCTACTTAGTTTTGTTTGTGTTGATGTGGACCATGGCACGGCGTGCTGATGAGCTCGCGCGGCGGCTGCAACGGGGTGGGTTTGGGGTGTGCACAAACACCCACCCTTGTGTGTTGTAGATATACGTAGATATCTCCTACCATCTAATTTATGCAGTAGTTGTTGTCCCCAGTATGTCACGGAAAACGAATAAGCATTGCAAGAAAAACCTTGTAAAAACGTTGCTGTTCGCCTTAGAAAAAATTTGACATTGCTTATGTCAACCTAACTAGGCACACGGGGGCATTCTGGACCACCGCTTCCTTCAAACGCGCTGTCAAGTCTGTGAAGGCGCTGTCGCTGTTGACGCGTTGACGGGTCTTCATCCTTTCATTTCTCATTGCAACGACGTCATTCTTTGTGACGGCTGTATGCTCCCCAAATACGGACACCACACGTGAGTGCCAAAATGTCAAAATCAGTGACTAAGCACCACATATGGGTGCAAACGCTCCCCACAGTGCATTTTGAGTACGTACCAGCCAGTTTTGGCATGGTGCGTGATCATTCGATTCGACCGACCTAATCCATATAAGTAGAAAAGTCCAACACGTGTATGCGGATCCACAATCCAAGTATTGTTTTTTTGTCTGGTTGAATCCAAGTTAGTTAGCGCCACCAGGACCCCTGAAAGTACCCTCAGATGCCTGATCCCAAAATGCCCCAAACTGCCCAATTTTTATCCGGACGGTTTTGCCAAATTTCTATCCGGATATTGGATCTGGCCTTCAATAAAGTCAATTTCTATCCGGACGCGGATCAGGCCTATAAAAATCGCTATTTTTCAAAAATTGGCGTGAAAAGAGTGAATTTTGGCTTGCTGGCCCCTCCTGGCCCCTCCTAGGCATTCTCTGGAGGCCCGTACATCGGGAAAAAGTAAAATATACATAAGTGAACATAACATATGCATTATACATGCAGAAATTTGAAGATAAACAAGCTATTCTTCATCTTCCACAGTTGCCTTTGCTTGAAAGCTTTCAAGGTCTGTAAACTTACCGTCTTGCTGTTGTCCTTGATTTCTTTGAACAGCTTCCAATCATCTGTAGATATTTTGAGGCCATTTTGCGTGATTTTCGGAGTATGAGGGTGCACAAGAAGGCAGACGGCAGGAGATGATCGAGGCAACGAGTTCACGCAGAACTGAGAGCCAATTTGATGCGAGAAAATATATATATCACGGAAGGATCGTCCGAAAGAACGGAGAACAGGGGGAAAGAATGGGAAAGAAAAATATTAAAGTATATACCAATAAATAAGTTGGCGGCAGCAGTGAGCGCGCACTGCCTTTTTCGAGCTTAAATTTCTATAGCGTATATTTCTATCCGGACATCGGCTCAGGGTTGCTCAGCCTCACCAATTCCTATCCGGAAAACTGCCTCTGGCATTTCGCCAAAATAGCGAAATTTCTATCCGGACAGACCTAAGGCATTTCCAAAAATTTCGCCAATTTCTATCCGGATCTGGATCAGGCATCTGAGGGTACTTTCAGGGGTCCTGCGCCACCTCTAGGCTCTTGCCTTCATTACATTTCATTTGCGGCGCTTTGGTGTACATGTGACATGCCGACTCGGAATTCAAAAACGCAATCCTGCGCCATCAAAGGCGTCTTCAAGTTTTCCGTAAGCACATTTGCGCACTGGTGCTATGTACGCCACAGTTGACCTTGCAGTGGTTTTGCGGCGTGATCGACTGTGAGGTCATTTCAAATGTACTTACTCTTCCTACTCTAGTCCACCCTCTCACATGGTAAGAAATGCCATGTTTTGCGGTGCCTAGAATTTCAATACTATGTAACACAATCTTTCGTCTCTCAGGAACTTGGAAGGGAATCGAAATCTATAATGCCCTCAACCCTGGATCACATCAAACGGTCTTCCTCTGACTTACCGGCTTCCTGTGCTGGCGGAGCATTTCTCTCTTATCTTGACGCTTCGATCTCAAATGCCTATCTGAGGCCAACCGATATCATTGCCATGTACTTGACAAGATTAGTTGAACTCATGACCCGACACGCCATGTAACGCGAAGCAGGGGGCGAACACTGAATAATTAGCTAAGGAACAAAGGAAAGCTCGGTACCGCTGGTAGGGGAAAAAATAATTCCTGCCGTGCATCTTGTTTCGGTCTGGGGTGTTGAATGTTGAAAGCAACCTCGTAAACTGGATCCTCAAATGATCTCCCTAGCCTCAAGCCGTGATCGAATGGCCGTGTCACAGGGGGATGGTAATCTACGGCATCTGAATCACGCTAAAGAAATCGGCGGCTTATGAGCTTTGGACTCTCCCTGTCCTGATGATCACTTTGAATTGATGTTGTCCACTAATAATAATATCAAAGGCAGTATTGAAGGTGAAAGGGTTTAAATATATGGAAAATTAATAAGTATCACCACTGAGGAGGATTATCCCGCCCATGGTCACCAAAGAAATTCAACGAATAGGTGAGAAGGTCAGGAAAGACAAATATTTCTTCATTTCGTTTTATTTTTATCTTCAACGAGTGCTTCGCCAAGTTATTCGAGCTCCACGACTTGTGGGCGACCTCCAATAATTATTTTTGATTTATTTCATTTTCTCAACCAGAACAAAGAAACACGAAGACGCGTATATCTTCAAAGAGACAATGCATAGAACCTCGATGTTTGTAAGCGACTTCTGTTCGACAACCCCTTTTTCTATCAAAAAGATTATGACGAGTTTTAGTGGTAATCGCTCTTCCGAAAAAGCCGAAAAGCCGGATACCATTTTAATACCATTCATAATTAATTGTTCCTGACATGCGTGAATTTATTGAGAACATTATGAACATATATACTTGAAACAGAGCAACAAGCTACTGGAAAGCAAGTTCAGATTTGAGTGGGGCCGCTGCAATCATAAGGTTTACACTCTGACCCCGAGAGCATCACATCTTGAAACTTACCCTCGGTTTGACACATTCCGCCACAACAATGGGACAGCAGTTCTTCATTGGATCCACTTCGCTCGGATCCATGTTGACATGTGGCTGTCGTCCTCGCGTTTCTAAAAACTGGTGACCTCCTCCACAAGACCTGACAATACATTTGAGGCTGTGATGTGCGGCATCATCTTATCTTACAATTTGTTACAAGATCGGGAACTCCGAAGACTTGATCATAACCTTGAGGATTTGTCGTGCATGAATGAACCTACGTAATTGTTTAATCGGTGACAACTTGATCAACTGGTCATGATCATTTAGAAATGGGCAACTTCATTATAATTCTACAAGTCCTGGCGCATAAATGGAGTTGAGCGGACTCATCAGCGATGTCGCCGAACCCTTGGGACACGTGAACGGATCAACTTGACATTTGTTGACAAGCGCAAGGCAGGCCTTGTGCCCAGAAGTGACCAATGAAGGTTAAGCTCGATTGTACGTGAGGGTTCTAAATGAATTGTACCTCGCCCCGAATTTTGCTTATCCTTTTTCGCCTTCAAGGCGTCTTCAGGGCGTCTCATTCTGACTTTTCATTCACAACCACCACCATTATTTCTTTCATCGTCCTCTCATCTTCGCCATTCTTTCTCCCCTCTAACCATACGACGATATACGCATCACATCATGTCCAACCTATACGGTTCCTCCTATCAGGACTCGTTTCAACCCACCTTCTCCCCAGCTACCCGCGATGAGAACCGACGGTCCTTTCTCGATTTGAATCAACCACTCACAGCCATGGGTCGCAGGCAACCAAACCATATTCAAACACCTGCTCCGAATCTATACTTGCCTCAACCAACGTTTTCACCCACCTATGACCCCGCAACTCAAAATTTTCAGGTCGCATCGCACCAGGAGGTGGGTGGCCACTGAATTCCGATTTACGCTTACACCCCAGAAACTGACATACCGAAGTTTGACAGGTCCGAGGATATACACGTCCCGCATGATGAAGGTGATCGCTTTCGAAGCCAGCAACCCGCCGGCGGCATCGCTTATTACGTTTCGGACACCTTTTGCGAGACACCTTTGGCGCATGGTGATGATTGGGACTTTTCGAGTCCCCCGGTCTCCGACCCCAGCACGTGCGGCTCATTTCAGTACTACAATTCCGCGGAAGGTTCTGTTGAATGGCAGACCTATGAGATTCCGTGCGAGGACCAACTCGCATACGACGCGTTTGGCCAGCCTCATTACAGTGCCGTCAATCTACTCCCATATCGCTCTCAACACCCTCCCATTTCCCCTACCCAACATTCTTCATACTCCGAGCTCTCAGCCAATGTACTTTTTCTATCGGAGCTCAGTCGCGCTGAGTCCAAGATTTCAAAAACTCCGATTACCCCCTCTGAGCCCAAGACTCAACAAACTTCTACTAAGGCGAAACGGAAGGAAAGGCCTTCGTCTGATTCTGATTTAGATATGGATTTTAAACCACATTTTCCGTCCTCCAGTCGTCGTCGATCGGCTCCCGCGCCGGTCAAACAAAAGGTAGCGTCGGTGCCACCCCCACGTCAGTCGACCGCACCTCCGCCTAAGCCACACATCCCGAAGAAAGACGGAGGGCAGAAGAGGTTGAGTCTCGCATGTTTATTCTGTAGGGAGAGGAAAATTGCGTGTGGTCGCCCAAGTGAGGATGAACCTGACCAAACTTGCGCGTACGCAATCGACTTTATTTTGATGTTAGCGTTCTTACCACATTTTTTAGTCAATGTCTGCGTCGAGATCTCACATGTGAATACCCGAAGGAGTCGAGGCGAGGACAGCATAAACGTAGTCCCAAGGGAAAAGCCGGGCATCGATGAACACTAGCGCTATGCTTCCCAGGATGTTTCTAGTTTCATTTGTAATGTAATTTTCTCCAGTTCTTGACATATCTTGGATGCCGTGCTATATCATCGTGCGTAGTATATCATAATGAAATGGTATGACTTTGTACTCATTGCGGTAATGTATTCCGGTCGCCCGTAACATTCAGTCAGGATTTGGGAGCGGGGTACAGAATAGAAAAGACAACGATGTAGGTTTGAACCCATGCAATCAGAGCACATAATTCCAAACCACTCCCAGTCCCACTCCAGTTACACCGATAACAGCGGTCCAAACTCCCCAGCTCCACTCCTCAGCCCAGAAACCAGGTTTCATACAAACTGCTTCGATGTTTCGTCCTTCTGGGTCGATGACGAACGCAGCGTAGTAAGTCATGAAGTACTGAGGGCGCAATCCTGGGGGTCCATTACAGGTAGCACCCGCCTCCCTAAGTGAATGTCAACTTTGAAACATCGAAGTACAAAAAGAGTGACGTACAAGGCTGCACGGTGGAAAGCCCTCACTTGGTTGCGCGTTCGTGCCGAGAACGCAAGGTGCAACGGCCCGGTTTCCTTCTTCAACTCCTCGGGACGAGAATCGAGACTAGACAGCCAAAAGTCTGGCTCACACCCACCAGCGTATCCACGTACTTTGCCATCCATGAATGACATCTTCTCCTTGTAACCCAACGGAGAGAGAGCCGCCAGATAGAAGGCAGATAGAGCGTTAATATCAGGGGTATTCAAGCCGATGTGACTGATAGGCATGGTGTTGGTCTAGTGCTGGTGGTTGGGGAGAAAGAAACTGTTCGCTGGCGGGCGCGTCAATTTAAATAGTCTGAGTTGTCAAACACTCACGTGCCTGGCGCCCTGATACGCTTGGCGCCTTTGTTGGATCTTGTTTGATGGAGGAGAAGCTGAGTTTGACTCGGAGCTGAGCTATCTATGCACAAATTTCTGTTAGTTTGTAAGGCGCGGAGTTCATTATGGCCAATTTGGAAGGACCTGAAGCTGGGCAGCGGGTTGAAGAGAAATATTTCATGAGTATTTGTCTTTGTGTGGCAGGCACGTTACGTTGCAACAAGCACGATCACATATCAGTACCCCCGCGTCACAAAAGCCCGGCTCCGGGCTCCCCCATATCTATGCGATGATAGATGTCATATAAGTGACTCATTTTGGTGAGCGATAAAATGCTTATGGTCATGATCATCTCTTGACAAGTCATTGACACTGTTAGATGTCAACAACGTTCCTTTATGGTCATTCTCATTCAAGAACAAGCTCCCATTGTCCACTTCAATTTCCTCTGTAACGACTCCGAGAACGCGCAGCAATACATCGCGTGGAAATGGCTGAGTCGTTGAAGAAACGAACGAAGCGGGGACGGGCTTGGACCCAAGCCTGCGGCGATTCTTAGTACCATTGGATAGGGCGAGTTCCGTAAACTTTGCAACGCTCATGATGTAGTGAGTGTACTTCTTTGAAAGAAATTTAGCTCACCTTTGAAATATTATCAGCTGAGAAGGCACTCTGTACTTTCCGTGCATGGGACGGGTACAACGCCTGGACGCTTCTCTGCTCCGGTTTTTCAGTGGTTCCCTTGATTACCATTGGTTTACCTGGGTCCAATACGGTTATCTTTGTTTCACGTTTCTAACGTTCTCCTAGGTCCCTTCATGAGCTACCAAGATCTTGGAACTACGCATCCTCGTACGGCATAGTTCGTATTGTAGCATTCCGAAGAAAACAACCACTTCTGCCTGAGGAACTCATACAGAACGATAATCACTCAGCAACGATGTCTGTAAGAACCCCAGACCCTCGTTTCGCTCCGATTTCGTTGCGATTACACAGATCTACATATCTGCAATTACGATCTTGTGGGTTTGTGGATTGAGTAACCGTATTCCAGAAAATGAGGGAGTACTAGCAATTACTCCGACATTTTTTCTCCGTCAGAAACTGACCAACTGCTCTGGTGGGTGCAATCATTATCTAATAGCGATTTACACGCTGAAACCGAAGGGGTTGCCAGAAGCTAAGAAATCCACTCAAGGCGGTTTTTACGTTCCTCAATCCCGGAGGATTCTCCGCCCAGTTGTGGTAGGCATGGCTACCGTTCTCTTCATCGGTGATATCACGGAAGTCCTTGGTTATTTCGAGCCCTTTTTATCGTTTGTTTACCGGCCTGCGCATTCGAAGTAAAGGTTGTCCGGTCAATCAATGGTACGTCCTTGCGAACCTCTTCACGCCAAAGTAACAGCACAGGCCATCCCTGACTACGAATTCCGGAAAATAGGATGTATTTCGTGGATATATAGGTGGCTGGAGCGCCCCATCCTTCCTATCCGCACTCATCATCTCGCACAACGATTGTACTGTAAATTGAAGAGAACACTCCCCCCAGACGATAAACAGCGCGGCAGCCTATATGTCTATCTTGGAATGGAATTCAAAATGGTATGCCACTACCGAGTCACTTCAATATGACACGGCCTCATACAACCATCTGGGTAGGCGGTCAAGCCCTGCTTCCCTTACGTGCTTTCCACTAACAGGATTGAATCGCACAATCGTGATGGCAGCTACCGCGGCAACAAGTAGTCATATTACGTCTACTTTTGCCTCACAGACGGCGTCGAGCGACTCAAGCCTTACCCAGTAAGTTATCCACTCAACTGCTTAGGGGTGGTGTTTGCTGACTATGTCATGAATACCCGATTTAATAGGGCGCTTCCTTCAGGAGCATCCACTACCAACCCAGCGGTTGCTGCTCCAGGCGTTGCGACGAAACATTCCCTCACCTGGAGAACTCGTATAGGCCCAGTAATTGGTGGACTAATCGGGGCCCTCTGTTTATGCATTGGCATCGCTGTTCTGATGGCATTTCGCCGTCGTCGGCGCAGCAATATTCGCGCTACCAAATGTACGTATACGTACCTCCGATCTCAATATCTCCAATTCTCAACATAACCTAAGTAGCTGGGTCATGCAGGGTCAAGGCTCCCATCCCCGGCCCCGAAAATACCGATGCGGAAATGACTGAAAAGCCTATAGTAATACCCCTTCAACCCACGTATTCTCGGGGTGTTATAAGCTTTGATATTGCATCCGATGTCAATGAGCACGGGCACTCCTCTGCTGATAGCAGACTCACGATGGGCAGCGAAACGACTGCTGAGTTTTATGTCAACAGTTTGAATATCCCCTCGCCATTCTCCACCAATTTCCGTGCATCCGTGGTAACCAGGATACGAGACTTGGAGGAAGTTGATCCCTCCATCAGACCAGGGAGGGATGGCAGTTCAACTTTGTTTTCATATTCAGCTCCGTAGATGGAGAATCATTCCCGATTAATGGACACATATAATAATATACTATGGCCAGAGCTTCTGCACGGTTCATCCTGATTTCCCATTACCTGGCAAGCTCTTTAGAAAAGCCGCACACCCTTGACAACTCTACCTCTCCAATCCACCTCACTTTGCGCGCTCGCCCAATCTCGCTCTCCAGCCGGCACACCAAGCCCGTCCAGGAGCTTCTCCGCGACGTCCGGAATGAACGGCTGCAAACATATCCCAGTGATTCTCAGCGTTTCAAGCGCCACCAGCTGAGTAACGTATACATTAGTCGGAGGACAAGAGGCCGACCAGGGTGCAATGGTTGTGACAGTTTTATTTGCCTAAATGTTTATCAACAGCGGCGATAGCTGGGAATATAGAGGCATACCAGTCTCAACAATGCAATAATTTCTTCGAGCGCCTCACCCACTTCGAGATTATCGAGTGCTTTCTGAACTTGCGTGGGGAGGGCACGCGCGGAGAGAAGAAGTGAACGATTGGGGTTCGGTTCCTCTATCGTTTCGGATGCATTTGACTCGGTGGCCGCTGGTTGACAGTTGGCGATGGAAGTCAGTGTGGGGAGAGGCGAAGAAGCACGCTGCGCAACAGCGCTGATTCTCTCAGACGTGACGCGTAAGAAATAGTTGCCAAGGAGCGATTGGAGTTCTTTTGAGTGTTTAGTGAGCTGTTCTGGGGACCAATCTGTTGTGTAGAAGCGTTATTACCACAATGAGGATAGCATTGAACAAAACAGACCAACGTCATCCCTGAATCGGCCGCCGACTATCGCTAAGTAGTACCTGACGATGTCGACACCATAAGTAGACATGGCGGCTAGTGGATCAGCGACGTTCCCCAAAGATTTGGACATTTTCTGGCGTGAAACGGTCCAATGTGCGTGAGATAAGATTTTGGATGACAGCGGGAGTTTCTGTGGCGGTGGAGACGGGGATGAGGAGGGGGGAGATGGAGAGGAGAGCGCCATGAGAATGGCAGGCAGATATAACGCATGGAACCTAGAGACGACTTCAGACTGTAATAGTAGTGAGGGGAGGGGTCGGCAACGAACCGAAGGATATCTTTGCCAATGATTTGCAAATCCGCTGGCCATGGTATCGATGGCCCCAGCTCAGCGCTAGAATCGCTGGAGGTAGAGACATGCGACCACGGATAACCGACGCCAGAAAGATAAACGAGTAAAGCATCAAACCAGACATACATGGTATGATTCAGTGGGTCGGTGGGGACCGGGACGCCCCATGACAAGCGGGAACGAGGGCGGGAGATGGAGATGTCTTGCAGGATTGGTTCAGGCGCGTCCGCTGACGATGAAGTAGAGGACGAAGCAGAGCCAAGCATCTTCAGAACAGCGGAATGGTATGGCGGCGGATGTACCTCGGTCTTCTGTTCTCGGTAATGTTCTTCCAGAGCCTCACGAAACGCAGATAGCCGGAACATGTAGTTTTGCTCGGTCGTCCATTCAACTGGAGAGGATGTTTCGATTGATATCATTGCAGGCTTTTCCCCTCTAGACGAGGAAGAGGAGGGAAGAGTTGCGGGCATGACCTGGGCATCGGCGTAGAAGCATTCATCCGTGATACTGTACCATCCTTCGTACTGCCCTTTGTAAATGAAGCCTTTCCGATCGAGAGTAAGCTATCCTGGATTCCTCAGCTAAGAGAACGACAAATGAAGGGATTAGAGGACGCACCCACACATGCTCAACAGCTTTCTTATGTTGCTCCTGCGTTGTGCGCATGTACACGGTATAGCTGATTCTTGCTCGGTCCGCTAATTCCTGCAAGCAGCACCATCCCACGAATCAGCTCCAACTCGTCTTGCTCATACTAATGCCAAAGGTTGCAGACCCTAAATTTCCCACTCAGCGAATCACAAAAGGACTTGGGTTCAACGCCCGCTTTTTCTGCCGCCTGCTGAATCTTGAGACCGTGTTCATCGGTGCCTGCAAGGAAATGCACTGGGCGTGTTGGGTCAAGAATGCGCTGATACCGCGCAAAGATGTCGCCAAGCACCAGGGTATAAAGGTGCCCAATATGTGGGACAGCGTTGGGGTAAAAGATGGGAGTAGTCAGGTAGTATGGCTTTTTTGCGCCGGCAGGGGTCGAGAGCGAGCGCAATTGGAAGAAGCGCGGGCGGTGGAGGTCGAGACTGCATACTCTTGTCGTTGTTGACAGACGACGGCAAGGACGACGGAGCATTGAGGAGAACGTGACACAAAAATAACTCTGGCAATTTGACCTGATCAACTTACCCTAAACCAGCTGCTCACCGTCACCAACAGTGACAACGCGCCTTTCCAGTTCCCAGCTTCTTCGCAGCACAGACACCTAGAAATGACACCATGACTGGTAGCCGTTTAGGTTCGTATATTTTTGTCCTTTTTATTGCGACTATGCTAACGCGACGCGTCGGTTTGAGGACTATAGCATTGCCAATGCAAATTCGGTACATCGTACCCCCGGTTCTTAGAACCACCAAACATCGGTTAAGCGCAGTCACAAAGGAAAATTGGCTCAGAGTGTATCGAAGAAGGCGTGGAAAGGCCAACGTGGTGTTTGTACAACGCAAATAAGCTACCACACTGTACCGAAGATATCGACGGCTCGACCCCATCACAGAAATCAAAGCGCAATGTGTTAGTGGAAGATGTAGTCCAAGTTCAATTCGAAATATTCTACTTCTGAGGATGACGGATTCAATTTCTTGTCTCGACTAAGTGCTCCATTTCGACGACAAAACCCATTCAAAGCGTTGCCAGGTTTCGGCATTTTGTCGCAACGCAGGATAGCCCAGTGCAGCACGACAATATCTCACCGTTAGGAGCCTCGCACGCCTGATACTCGGAGACGCAAGTCGGCTGGGGAAGTTGGACGAGTACACCGTTGATGCAACTATGAGAATTTGAATTTTAATGTCACTCGACTTTCGATGGGGTGAACTAGGGTCTTACCTGTATTCCGTGTTACTGTAGCAGGCTTGCCCGCAAGGAAGGTATGCCTGGCCGTTGACCACAGGGCAGAGGAAGTCATTGTCGTAGCATACATACTGTTGACGACGTTAGGACCACTTAAATAATTTTTTTGGAACTGTACGAACTTGAGAGGCATAGAATCGCGCGGACCCACACTGAAGTAGCTCGTTTGATTTGATCTGGACGAGCTGGTTGTCAGAGCACCTGACGAGGGACATTGTCAACCACGCTTAAATATACTCGAAGCAGCGATCAACACATACGCGTATTGTGACGGAAGATAGCAAGCAGTGTTACAGCGAAGATAGGTCCCCGAAGGACCCGTTGGGCAGAGAAAATCGTTGTCGAAGCAAGTATACTGTGATGGGTAGTACTGCGCAACGCCGCAGGTCTGGAGGTTTTCGCCAACAACAGCCCGGGCGAAGACAAGGAACGCGAGGAGGACTTTAGACAACATGACGTGTACTTTGCGTGTCAGGAATAAGTTCTGGGATAACAGAGGGTAAAGCCTGATCTTATACCTTGGCCAGCGCCTTACAATTTCCGAGTCCCATCAAGGTACTTCAAGTTTGACGCCGTGGTGCTGATTGGGTGCCGAAGAATTTACTTGAAATAATCAAGGCACCTCTTTCTTGACACTTGTCACCCCTCGTGTTTCGCATTTTGTTAGGCCTGTTCGACAATTGTTAGTAACTGGAAGCGAAGCTCGCGAGGCTCCAAGTAGCGAACGGCAAACACACCTGGAGTTGTCAAAGCGAACGAGAAAGTGGTGTCAAAGCGAACGGGAGGGAACATGTTCAAGTTGCTTGGTTAAATTTGTTTGGGGAACATTCAAAAAAGGCGGAGTTTATGTAAACGATTTTTGTTGACTTCAACGGCCTGATGGTGAAACCTGGGTAATAAGCGAACGGCGTGTGTACACCGCGATGCCTCATCCTCATCAGAGGGCTTCATGTTGGCTTCATGATGGAGGCGGGATCTTGACCAAGGACTTTCCCACGTCGTCATACTACATATCCATTATTTTAACTTGTTTGTCACCCTACTAGTAGTAGAAGGAAAAATCATCTGAGTGTCTTTACATAACTGTCTGACCATCACAAACTCTGTGCGAAAGGCCCATCATAAGCAGAGTAGCCGCGATCAGGCGCGTAAGCCCGATCAGACAAATTGTCATTTTCCTGATGTACTTACAAGTCACGGAAGAGACACTATCCGAGACAGGGAAGTCAATTGGGGAAAAGGAAGAGATTGTAAGGGGATGAGGAACGAGGGAGAATAGGGTAAAACTATTCAGAAACCCCCCTTTCTAGTAGAAACCCCCGTTTCTGATATAACCTTATCCAGAAACCCTCTATAGTCAGATCCGAAATTTTGATGGGTTCGCCGTCCACGGCGTTATGTGATGTCACACGTGTACACTTCACAACTCCCGCGCTCACCACCCTTGTATCTCTACCTCAACGTCCTCAACCCACTCTGCATGAGAAATACCTCGTGATAACATCCAGGGTACGTGCCTTCATCACTATCATCATCTCATCTATTCAACGGCCGCCGTAGGTAGAACAAAACCCGAACGAATGGTGGACAAGAGAATCTAATGGATTTGGGCTGAAGCGCGTGAGCTCCGAGACTTGCAACCCACTGGAGAATGATCCGAGGAGTTGCTGTATTTTCTAAACTCGTCAAGCAATCCAGGATGATGTCGGGCGAAATCAATGCAGGACTGCCGACCTGTGTATCGCTATTCGTCGTCTTGCTCGCGGTGGAGGTGTGAAGGGTATCGCTGGTCTCATCTTTGAGGCGACGCGTGGTATTTTTAGAATATTCATTGAAAAGTGGGTCATCTCGCTTGTCTTCATCGTGTCTCTGACCATTCACTCCAAGGTTATTCATGTGTCAGTAACATACACAGAGCGCGCTGAGCGGAAGAATTGGGGAACACGTATGACATGCGGATACTCATTGGTGTCAAGGTTGAAGACCCCTTCCATCCGGTCTCAAGTCCCAAATATTTGATAACGTCGTACCACTCATATCCTTGAACAACGTATACGCCCCGCTCTGGACTCTGAGGACCTCTTACAATGCATGGCCAGCTCCTTCCTGCCCGCTGTGTCGCAGAGTTCCACCACGAGACCTTGGGTCACGACAACTCCCGCAAAACGCTAAAAACGCGCAGTCGAGCTGTTGAAGCACGGGTTACATTCTTCAATGCGTGACATTTTCCATCCTCTCTCAAATTGCGCCGCCTTCTTCACCTATCTACAACCCACTGCGTCTGTGTTTTCCTTCCCCACGCCTACGGCATATTGTGTCCCGCTGTATGTGACTGCAGCCTGGCGCCGTTTGCTCATGGGTCTGCGTCCGAGCCAATGCGTCTGAGGAACTGTACATATATGTCTTGAAACGATCGGGGCGTACGCTATACAGGTTCGGAGGGTATATGTGATTGTTTTGTCATCTACATGTCCCCAGATTGTATCTTTATTCTATTCATCTCTTCTCTGCATCTTCAATTCGTCTCGCACTTCGATACTGAGATTTTTCACCAGTGTACCGGTCACCATAATTCAAGAACATCTATCTATCAAACATTCTTTCCTCAACTGTTCAATCAAGTTGAGTGTCTGGGCTTGACAGATAGCCTTCGTTTGCCACACAACATTTGTTATCATTGACCAATGGCGTAGCGTCAGACATTCGTTCTCATTGTCACATTCGGCTCATGTCCTCTATGATATGATAACCTCATGAGGAATCCGCGGCCAGTAGATTCCCTCAGGGAGCGAGTTAACAGACGTGTGACTGGTTGACTACATAATAGCCGCGGCCGGCGACCATCACCGGTCACCGAGAACTCAATTTGACCGTGTGCCAGGGTTTCTCAAACCACCCTCGGAAACCCCGGGTTTCTACCAGAAAGGGGGGTTTCTGAATAGTTTTACCCGGGAGAATAGCCAAACCTAGTCTGCATGGCACGGAGTAAACAGGATGAGAAAAAAGGAAGAAAGAGGCATTATCTTTTTCAAACGCTTGCGACGAACTAAGTATCACATCAAGTTATGGCATAGATAAATTTAGTTGATTATGAACTACTGCGCGCGCAAGGCGCACGCGCTCTCGCTATAGATATATAGAATGCCATAATTGTTACATTGTACAACAATTATGTGTAGTGTACAATGATAACACTGCCTTGAGAAGAGCCCGGGGCGCGGGCGTCGTCGACGGCCCGTCATTGAGGTTTTTCGGAACAACGCCCGATAAATAGACAGTGTTGTCTGAGGTCGTTCAGCACAAGGGCATAGTGAAAAGGGGGCGAGGTGCTGAATACGACAATAAGAACCTGTCGTACAGGTCAGCCCTCAAAAACTTGGAGGTAGAAAGGAATTACATACCAATATAATGTAGGTAATAAAGATACTGCGTACAACGTCAAAAAAATGAAGGCACGCGGGCAGGGGGAGTTAGAAGGAAGCAAGTGGGCCAGGTGGCACAACGCTGGACGACGACGGCGCGACGACTGACGTGACCGTGTTCTGCGTCACGTGGATTGAAGAATCCGTAGATGGACACGTGACAGTCTTGGTCTACGGAGCGTTCTGGCAAAGGCCCGCTCGAGAAGGGCTGGGTTGCCAAAGTCGTGCCGAGCACAAATATCGCCGAGTTCGGAAGGAATCTTGCGCTTCAACAGGTCGAGATCACTGAGGTCTCGTCTGCTGTGCGTATCTTTAGCGCTTGGTTAGCGCCTTCCAAAAATCATTGCGATGAGTAAAAAAACTTACGGAGCAGCACATGCAACAGCAACAACAGCAACAAGGATGGAAGCAAGATGGAAGCAGCGAATTTGACCATTCTGTTTTGTTTTGTCGCGAGTGGATTAAAGCGAAAGCTTGGAGAGAGTTGCGTTCAACGAAAACGAAACGAAAACTGGTAGTGATTGCATACGTCACCGAGGTTTTATATGAGAAGGCTGGTATATGTCGGAGATGGCTAAGGCGTTTTTTCAAGGGTTGAACCAACCTGAGCGTAACCCGCGAGCTGATATTTGTTTCCGACATTGTCGGACAAAAATCTCATTATAGTGATTGTTCGAATTCAATAATTGGTGATTATTGGGTGATTACTCCTTTTCACCAAATGAATACGCCTTCCGATGCCTGGAAGTTTTTGGAAGTCTCGCCATTATCATCCTATCCCTGGTGTAACAACTCGAATCATTTACATCCTCACTCGTTTCAAGGGGGAAAAAAACATATTGAAAGCACGGACGGCCCAATCGGAAGATGAGTACTGAGTACTAGAAAGGCTTCCGAAAGAGTGTGTGCACAATGGCGCAGTTGACGAAAAATTTACAATCCTCTGATGCCTCATCTACGCAGAATGTTTTTTGTAAAATCTTAAAAATACATTAAGCCCCTTTAATAAAGACATTCAAAGCGGCTTCCACCCCTCGCCAGCAGGCCATTTTAAATTATCTTTTTCCTTCCAAAACCCATCCTCATCCTCAACCTCAACCGCCGAATCCACACCCGCATCCTCCCCGCTAGAAGGCATCAACCCCTCCTGATCCTCCCTCCCCCGACTCGAATCCCTTACAAACCCTCGCCGGCTCAAGCCCGCCTCAGCTTTATACCTTGCCCTACTCCCATCAAACCTCAGCGCATCAAATTTCGGCTGGAGATTCGCAATCGTCCGCTGGATATTGCTCATGTGGGGTAAGGGATCATGAGAGGTCGATGGGTAAGGCGACGACGAAGCTGAGACGCCGGAAACGGATAGGGAGGACCGTCGGTGTGCGACCGTTGGGGTTGGGCTGGAGAAGGACGTGTGACGGGACACGGACCTATCACTTACGCTTGAGTGGAACAAAGCCTCTCCGGACGAGAGCACCTGTACACTTTCAGGTCTCTTGCGCCTTAGGGGCGGTGGTAGCGGTGGGCGTGGTGGGCTTGGTTGATGCAACGATTTTGAGCGGAAAACGCGCGCGGTGGGAGAGTCATCCGTGGTAGCTGTGAGGGTGGTCGTGCTTGTGTTGGGGCCGTATACGGCCTCGAACGATTCAATATTACTAGACGTCGATGGCGGTTTGCGGTCCGGGTGTTGTGGGGGCGGAAGGTCCAGGTTTAATCGGGATGGAGAATCTGGATGCACCCCCGTCGTCGCTAAAGCCACTTGCTCCAGCGAGCTCGTTGACATTGGCGGCGATGGTTGTTGTTGATAGTGGTGCCTCCTCTTTGGAAGCGGAGGCGCAGAATAGACTGACACTGGGTCATCCTTGACGGGGCTGTGACCCCGGTTATGTACACTCGTTCCTATGACGACAGATGAGCCAAGGATCCCATTGGCACCTGCGAAGGAATGCGAACCCGAGACAACTGAGCTGCTCTTCAGCACTTGCATCACCCGCTCCTTCTCCAGCTGCTCTTCGGCTTTTTTCATCGTTTGCGCTGCCTTGCTTGCCTGAAGACTTTGTTTGATGAGGGCCGACGTCACGTGTGAGGCTGGCTTGGGGAATGCTACAGTTGGCGTTGCTGCGCCTGACGACGAGGGAGAAACTGAACGTGCTCCGTGGCGTGGAGGAGCGAGATAAACATGGGACGAAGATGGGACAGGTGGTGGTGGCGGTTTACGAGGAGGAAGTGGAGGTAACCTTGAAGACGTATCCGGTAGGCGTTGTACGAAAGGGTTGTGATTGGCGTGTTGAAGGATAGGTTTTGGAGGCTCCGCGTGCTGGGAAGGATGTAATGGAGGGTGGTAAGTAGGCGGTGGTGGATGTCTCTTTGGAGGTGAAGCGGGTCGTGGGGGTGGTTCCGATGTACTCGAAACTCTAGTGGTCGAGGTTGCAGAGTAGACAGAAGAATCAACGGTTTGTCTACGCAATGGTGGTGGTGGGAGGTACAAGTGCTTTTTAATCGGCGTCTCATTCCGCGACTGCGGCCTAGAAGGAGTTGGATGGGCTACATACGATGTTAGCCCAAGACCGGAACAAAACGTTGAGGACACACCTTGAACGAAGGCGAGGGCCCTGTCAACCTCTTTTCCCTGCTCAGCATGTATTACCAATCTTATGGCGGCAAAAAATTCGCCGCCAGACAAAGTGTCGCCCTGTTTCATGGTCGGCGAAAAATATTTGAGGATCTGTTGCCGAGATCAGTGATGGGCAATAACGATAAATTGAGGCTCACTGTATCGATCTGAGAGCCGGGAACATGAGAATATCGTCCTCGAAGCCAGGCCCTAACTTCTCGGATGCCCACCACCATTCTCTCAAAGTGTTCATCGTCCTTGGCCCCTTCAATGTCTTCCGCCAATGCAATATCGTCCAGAGATTGAGTATAGAGAGTGTACTCCTCGTCGTTTAGGGCCGAGGCGTGAAGACTAAGCTTTCGTGTTGCCATCTTGACGCTGGCAGCGATGGGCTCGGAAGATGTTCGTTTAGTCTTTGTCGCTGTTGGAAACGATGAGAAGAACGTGTTGCAAGCATGCCAGCCCTTAATTTTTAACATGTGTAAATAATGTACGTCAGCATACCTCAGACCTTGGAGTGGATAACCCAGTAGCTGAGCCGGAATTAGACAGATACTGACGAGTACTGACGCCTTGGATACGCCGGCCGTAAAAAAAAGAGGAGCCCTTTACAAAAAAAAAAAAAACAGTCACAAACGGCATATGAACACCTCGGATTCACGCATCCTTCAAACCGGCGCCTTACAACCAAATGAAGTGGCCGCTGCCGAGTTCGCAAACACTGCCTTGATAGATGTTCCAGCGCCCCACATTACTAGATTACCGCGTTTTTACTTGTCTATTTCCTGTCGATGGAAATTCGTCAACATACCAAGACAAGCCATCACGAGCCCTCCCAGTCCCATCCCTAAATTTAATAACTTAAAATACCATCGCCCGCCGAATAAACCCTGTAAAAGATCAGAGCTCACTTGGATCAAGGAGCTCGAAGATAATTCTGACCCTTTTCCACCTAAACCAATCTCTCCGTATCAATGCGACAAGACGTTCCTTTCCCAGCAGAATAAAGTTCATCGGAACCCACTGCATCAGTGATGACGTCGTAGTCAAGTCGGAGCAGAAGTGGGAAGGTGTAGGTGAATTGCCAAAATATTGAAGAGAAAGGTATGCAATATTCCATAATGGCGATAGCGGCAATGAGGCCAGTAATGGGATGGCAGCGCCAATCACGAAAGCTGTGTGCATGATGGTTCAGATTACTGCCTGGGCTACGGTTATGACGAACGCACCCAACGCCAAATATCCACAGACCATCACTGATAAAACTTAGATCAGCGTCAATTGGGTGATTAGAAAATCAGAAACATACAACTCCATATAATTCTGCCTCTAAAGGTCATGAGGCGAGGCCCCTTCATTAGAAAAGAGGTCTTGAGCGATGGCTGCAATAGCAATAATGAAAGAAACTTCAAATTTAGTTGAAATCGCGTGGCAGGCTGGAAAGTACTGAGCTTATACAAAATCCACGGACACCATGGAGGCCCTCTTTGTGGAAAAGACTGAATGACACTGAGATATCGCCTTGTCTGGTAGATATGTACTGCACCAATTCAAAGTCAACGAAATTTGATGAACTCAAAGGTCACAGGAGCTGGCCACAGATAGGCCTAGAAAATACGAAATTGTGTCTTTTGAAATGTAGAATCAGGTTCTGTAAATTTTTTCCGAAGAAACAGGCCACTACACTTACAGCTCGACGAAAATTTCGAAAATTCACAGCTTCCTCAGCGACACAAACAACTCGGAACTTTATTCGAGGGTGACTTCACGCAAAACGCCAGGGACGTAATATCAAGGAGTGCGGCGTACCGGTACGATGTCTATGTCAACTGAGCCAATTCCAGGAGAAGCGCGCGGTTTGATCACGTGTCACGGAAATCTATGTCGCCGCGACTTGTGGACCTTCATCCCTCAATTAGAATGGAAAAATTAGCGACGCAAACGTTATATAAAAGAGACATGTTGAACGTCAATATCAGGTCAAGGAACCACAACGAGGCGGCCATTCATTTCCCTGACAAGCTGACACGTTAAATGCAGACGGACATTCAGACCAAGGGGAAACAAGCCCGAGAAGTTTGGTAGGCTGTACTTGGAAGCATCACAGGCAGAACCGGTCGGAAGGCCAGGACCAGGTATTTTCGTGAGAGGCCAAGGCTTGTGACACCAAAGCGGGAGGGGCAAAGCGGGTATCGAACAAATGTACCCTCAAAACGAGGACCTCCTGAATTCATGTCAACGGAATGTCGAATAAGGAGACGCAAACGACTCAAAAAGGCCAGGAACCTTGAAATTGTTCAAAGGGTTATATTGACCTTGGGCCTCGAGGCAGATACCTACGCGGCGAACTTGATCAGAGTGAGTCACCGCCGGCGACGTTTGAGAAGAAGGTTTGCCTAACCCTAAGCGCCTGAAAGTTCATTTCAACTTAAGAGGAAGAATTGACATACATCAGGTTAGTATCGTCTCGTGGACTCACTCTGTCAGTGGTAAACGAGGCGACCACCGTACGTTTCCCCGGCCGCACGGGAGAGCGACTCAAACCCGTTCTATCCAAGAGGAGAGTGCCTTCTTCCGAAAAATCTTTGATGTGTGTAAAACATAACCTTCCGCCTTCGTAATGTTCATCAGCGAAGAAAAACAATGAGCGCACAGCCATCCAACATAGGTCCAAGGGGTAGCGAACAAGCCCAAGTAGGCGCCTCACCTTTCCGTAAACTGCATGTCCCAATTTAAGTGTATTCTGAATCAAACCGAACGGCAGAGCGAGAAAGGAAATGCAACAAAAACATCACCGTCACCAAACCGTCACACATTTCAACAATTTAAGTTCAATCTCCGCTGAATCTCCGCGAACAATGGATTTTCAACATCTCCTGAAAAGACATATGTACGTGTCTGCACACGATCAGAAATCTAACCATATTCGCTTCCTCTCAACAGAAACCGAAAAAGCCGCTTTCAAAAATTTCAAGGCGCAAAAGGCCTTCCCTGACATTTCCTTGAAAGTAAAACTCGCACACTGTTTCCGTTGTTACATCTGTTTGTCTGTTACTCCCTCGCCGGAAACAAAGAAGGCCCGTTGATTCCGACCAACATTCTTCCTGTCATTGTGTCAAAGGGATCAAATCTTTCATTCCGAACCAAACTCAGGCTCGAAGTTAATTAATTATGGAATGCCGTTATCCGCTATGTCGCAGATTCCTTCCGACATCTCCAGACATACGAAATGGTGGCTGAGCAATGTCCTTCAAATCGTTGTTCGCCTCAATGAACTGAGGTCCGATGTGGAACGCCGGGATCGGCGTAGATTACATATGACATTTGACATGACATACAGCACGGTGTGGTGTGAACAATGGTGCGAAAGGTAAGAGGGAATGAGGGTTATGATGTTATCGGCCGCCGTAGACGTATATACCAAGAAATTGAGGTGCAAGAAATACGGTGAGAGGAAGATTTCTAAAATAAATCGGAAAGCATGTTGACAGCACGATGAAATAGAAAATGCAAAGAAACCCAAGAAAACATGCGTCGAGCCTGCGGATCGAGGAAGACGTCCAGCCAAGTGCCCCCGTCCTTTACCCCCTCATTCGACTAACCTCACAACGTCGCCCTCAATCACCACCATCCCCTTCTCTTGCATGGCCGTCACGGCCTTTGCAACCTCAGCGGTATCGAAATCTTCGTGCTTGTCGGTCGGCATGGCCGAATTGAGGTAGCCAAGCAGGGAGGAGATAGTGAGCTCGTCGGTATTTTCGTAGGTGGTACTGAAGAGGTGTTCTATGGAGTTGAACACGAATGTTTTCCTGCGTAAGTAAAAGATGGTGAATATGTTTTTAACGATGGTAATGAAGGGAAGAAAACACGCACCTCCCAACGGGGGTGTCAAGATCAGCAAGACCGACGGGGTGCGGACGTCGAACAGGGGCGATATGTCCGCCGCTCTGTCCACTCCTATGAGGATGCACTGATAGTGGCTGTGAGGTATGGCTAGGTCCTAAGAGATGATGAGCATGGTGTTGGTGTTCAACATCCCGATGACGCTGGTGTCGATGCTGCTGTCCGGTCCCCGTCGTCGAGGAACGCGAGACCGACAGAGGCTGAGGGCGAGGAAGATGGGCGAATGGGTTGGGAGGGTGCTGTCGTCGTCGTTGCTCGTCGGTATCCATATACGAGTCGTCGCCCTCGGCATCTGCTTCCCCCTCAGCATCAAGGTCTTCTTCCCATTGACGAGGGGCAAGATGGTGGTGGCGCTTCCTCCCGCTACTGGGAGGTGGGTAGGTGTATACCCGCGAGGAATCAGAGGTTCCAAGCTCGGGGTACCGAGTCTTCTGCTTCCCATGAGGCTGCCCAGCACCACCACCCAACGATGAAGAAGGATATTGATGGTGGGGACGACGTCTAGGTTGAGACTCCTGGTCCACTTTCTTCCCAGTCGGCGCTAGAGCAGGGATGTCGAGGGACTGTTCACTGCCTTCACCTGCCACGCCTTCCTCCGATTCGAGGTCAGAACCTGTTTGGTCCTCTTCAGACAACATGACATCGTCGTCGTCCACATTGACTTGGGACTGTGATGCCGATGCGGAATGTGCAGCGGTACCCGCATGTCGACGGGCCTTGATGGACTCAACTTCTGCCGCCTTCTGCTTACGACGTGTACTAAAAAATTACTCAATAAAAATTGAATGGATGGGGGAGTAGAGCAACTCACTACCGTGCGAGACATTTTCCCCTGTGTTGTAGCCAGGGATACGCGCAATACGAACTGTCCTGACGAAGTTGGACCCATTTTTCGCAGAGAGAACAAAATACGCGATTGGGTTCGACCTCGCCGATGAGGTTATCAGCACGAAGAGTGGCTGCTCTTTGTTCCGCGTTACGTCTACGGGACTCGTGTGCAGGGGCGTAATTTGACGGTGTGAGGTCGTGAAATGACGGGGAGTTTTGTGAGCCGTGAGAGAACGTGCTATGTTTGGGTGGGAAGGAGGAGAGTGGGTGTGCGGATGGGGATTGGGCGGTGGAGGCGGTGGGTTTAGGTGATAGAGGACTTGTGGTTGAGGGGGTGGTGGGGTGGTGGACTGATGATGAGCCTGAGGCGAGTGGGGCTGAGGTTGTTGATTGGATCGTGGGTGACGTAGCTGTTGTGCGACTGCACGACCGTCATTAGAAAAGCATCGATGTTAGAAGAATGGTAGACCTACGAAATGATCGGAGAGGTGGAAGCTTGCTTGCATGACTCACGATGCTGGAGCCACTTCTCAGAGGCCTGTTGGTGATCATCAGGCGGCACGCTGAGCCATTTATCGCACAAGTCGCAGAGCACACGCTCTGCATCGAATTTTCGAATATGCGGGTCCTTGGAAAAGAGGCTGTTGCGCTCCTCGAGTGCATAAACGTTCTTGCTATTACTGAAATGGGGTGAGGGTTTCGACGGCGAACTGAGTCAAAAAAAGAATACGTACATCTTCTTGGCAAGACAACTCTTCCGATGAGCGTCCCATGGGATGGAACAGTATGTCGAATTCGGCCTAAGACGAATCCACTTGTCGCACGAAGCACATAGGACGCGGTAAGCTTCAAACTGAGCTACATAGGGATCAGCACGAAGATAATCGATACGTTCCTCTTCCGTGCGCTTGGCACGTCGTCGTTTGGCAGGTGGATGAGCCAGAGCTTCAGCAGTGCTTTCTGGGGTATAGATCACTGTCGGACCAGCAGCTGAAGTGGCACCTGCTGAAGATGACCCTGGAGCGACACTGAATAAATAATGCGATTCAGATCTCAACGTAAGAATAATAATAAATGCTTACCAACTATTACGGTGTGCATTCCATGGTTTCAACGAGAATTCGCCGGTGTCGTCGTCCCGAAATGAGACGGCTGTACCGCAGAATTCGCAGATGACGCGGCCGGTTTCGTATTCCCCAGGCGGGATGATGGCTCCGGCTGGGAGCAAGTTCGAGGCCGAGTTTGCTTTGTCCTCAGAGGGCTCCTTGCGTTTAAGAGGGTTCCTACAGACGAATGAGCACTGGCCGAGCCGAGGAAAGGACGATTTACGATGGAGGAGCGCTTGCGGGCGGCGTGGGGCTCGGTGAACTGACGGAATGATGAGGGCCATGAGGGAAAGAAAATGTAACGGGTGGAGTGTGACTGACCTAGTGTCCTCAGGCATGGAGGACAAAAAGGGAGGATATGTAACAACTTCTCGATGGCCCGCCTTTTAGCGGAAAAGCATATTCGGTTCCAAAGCATATCTTGACGTTTGAAAAAAATGCAAATTGCGGTGTTTCTCAAACATATCAGTTTTTGAAACTCCGCTTTATGTTAAACTCTTTTTCGGAGTTCATCCGCAGATGCCGTGATATCCTCCAAAAACTATGCCGTTGATCGAGTGGCACTCAGAAAGACAGTTGCGCGTAATTCTCCTGGTCTCCAACGCATGTACATCCATTTACATTTATTCCTCAAACTCTACCTCCTTCCCAACTTTCCTCTTACCTCTTCAGGCTCCTTCCGACATCCTACCGTCCTCCAAAATTTCATTCCTCGGCTCAAAGAAGACAGAAAAACCCTTTGGGATCGTTCCCGGAAGACCTATTACCTAACTCTAGCTTCTGACAACAGGAGGTATGTCGTCGGATCAGTAACTTAATTTCTACATTCATCTATGGCACCGATCTGGTCCTCGTGTGCATTGAGACGACAACCATCTGTTACACCGTCCAACTGACAGCAGGAATTCTCCCTCGTTGTCACCAAATCCACTCTTTTCAGTTCTAAATGACAACACCACCACACTACATCAAGACATCACCTCCACCACCCCGTCCATCCGTAGTAATTGACGAGCCCCTAATGCAAACCGATCACAAACCTACCCCCGAGGATCAGTCCAGAAGGTTTGTCTGAGTTTTGCACTATATCAAATCAAATCATTCCGCTGGTCTTGGCTCTGCTGGAAGTAAGCCACCTTCCGTATTTTTCTCTCTGCGAGTGATCAAAATTTCTCTTTCAAGTTCCAATCTTCCCATTTCTAGCTTTCAAGCAGCAAGCGCCTTTTGGGCGTCTCGGATATTATTGATCACGCGTTACTCGTCAATGATAGTCCAAAATCTAAACAAGCAACTGTATCACTTACCTCCCGCCGGTTTTCTCGATCCCTATTCCACTGACGTCGTTGAAAGTGCTCTGGGTCTACCCTGATCTTCATCGTGACCCTGCACATCCAACCAAACCGAACGGCTCACTTTCGATGCTTACACACACTTACCTTCGCGGGATCCCTCCCATCCCCTCTCCCCGTCTGCTCAAATCGTAGTACCTGTGTTCGCGTTCCTGGTGTGCCTCTCCGAACGCTTCCAAGCATCAAGGACACTTTCTCAACTCACGCCACAAAGCCTTGGTCAATCCCAAAAGGGCTTGCTATTAATAGCGCTTCCGACTTACTTCCTATTCTTAGTGGGGCGTAGCAGAGGCGCAGCCCCTTCGAATACATCGCACGAACGAAATGGATCGTATCCGGGTGGCTGGTGCGCATGGCATGTGCTCATGTCATGATAAGTAGCTCGTTATACTTATCATAACCTGTCGTTTGTGGGGATGTCGACGTCGAGATGAATCGCGATAGCGATAGAAATGTTGTTTATTTACGCCGGGATTTTTTCCTCCGGTCAATGATCGTTTGAAGTCCAACTTTGGTCCAACTTGATGAATTCGACCAACTGGGAAAAAAGAAGGCAGGATGTCATACTACATACGCTTATAACACCATACCACATTGCTTAATGGCTTGGTTCTCCGCTGTAACAGGCTTTTCCATCGTGCTGGTAAGTACTATCAATTTAAACCTAGTGAGAGTCAGCTGCCACAGGTATATGAAGGTCATGTTGGCGTGGATCCGACGTAGTCAAGGTCGATCGGCGTTGTGAGGATCTCATAGTATCCAAAAAATAGACGTATCGTATCGTGGCGGCCGAGTAATAAAAATAAAAGACGATAGATGTTGAGCACTGCGGAGTCGTTAAGTAGATGGAGGTGGAATTGGGGATCCCGATCCGGCGAAATATCACTGAGCTGACATCAAATTGGCAACAGACATCGAAGTCATCTAATTAGTCGTTGATGTGATTTATCGATCCAAAACGCTGCTCTCTCTTTCTTTAACCAGTAGTCGAATAAACGATTCGCAGAAGGGAGATTATCGTCGACACACGCAGCATCGCCAGGATCATGATATGGCAAAACGTCCACGTATCGTCTGTCACTAGTCTATCAAGAACTATTATAGCTCACGGAGGACGATCCGGATCCGAACCGTACTTCCGTTCCATCCAATACAATGCAAGAGCTCAGAGCTCTCAAACCTTTCCATACCCTCCCTTTTCCAAAAAAGTACACATACGTTTCACAATCCCATCCAAGCCCACGAGCCACTTTGCTAGCTCCTCATCAAGTTTTTCCGCCGACCCGCCTTGCGCTATGCTCCGATAAAAATCGGAGCGCCGTGGGACGGCGCGGATCGCTACCTATATGGGAAAACACCACCGGATATCAGTATCGATTTTTTAGCAGCGCGATGATGTTCTCGGAGCTCGGAATTGGAAAAGGATCGCGAGGACTCGGAGATGATAAGTCGGAAGAAGGAAGACGACGGTCAGAAGATCGTGATTCATAATGTGGTGCGCAAAAACCAAATACGCAGAATAATGCCTTTGATGATAATTTAATAGAAGGACGACGAAAACCGACGAGTAAGGAACACCCATGTAGAACGATGTTGACGGAATGTTGTCAACGCCGACACAATGGATGACCCAGACAAGTGGGCCCAGAAATGAAGAGGGATTGAGAATGGAAGGATAAGGAAATAGATCTCAAAGATGGCGGTGGAGTCAAGTGGCTCGCTGACTCACCGAAACGATAGAGCGGATGACGAAGGAATGGTGATGTCCCAGGACCTCATCGTACGAACGTTTGAAGCAGGGATATAATTCCGAAGACCTATCGGCCTGCATGTTCTGCAGCGCCTTGCATGTGAACGCCAGTCCCCTGGTATCCATATATAATCAGACATGCACATTAAACCACAATGAAGGATAGAAGGTTGAAATAAAGGGAATGTCATAGCTAATCCAGCAATTTTAACCGACAGACCAAATGAAAGAGTAAAGCTACCCAATTCAACGTGATAAGAACTTACCGAATGAGGCGAACAAGGCATGGGGTACCGTGTTTCTGCATCTGGGTTGCGGAGCATGCACATTCTTGATGTTCGTATTCTACAAGGGATTCCAGCGTTCCTGACGCATCACGAGCCGTTTCATAACGACTACGAAGTCCCTAAATGAAAGAGAAGCGAAAAACAAGTAGATATACCTGGTCAGTGTGGATGCTCACAGGAAGCACGAATAAAAATGAAAAGACTCACTTGTATATTACCCCTGATATCTGCCTGCACGAATCCAAAAACTCCAGAACCTAACAAATCTAAAAACGGGATCGTGCACGCCAAGGGGGCGGGGTTCCTCTAAGTCCTCGGTTGTTCAGAGTACGTTTGATAGAAAGTACATACCAAACAACTGAACAAGACCATCTGAGGCTTCTAGGAACGATTGCGTCTCTACACCCTTGTCGGCGATAGGCACGTCCGCGAAAGACTACACTGATCCGATGGTAAATGTGCCCTCAAAGTGACAAACAACTTACTTTAACGGTTTCGAAATACGGGGGCATGTCTTTAGTAGTTCAAAGTGCGAGTTCAAGAGAAGTCTGCTGCGCCAAAACACGCAGAACACGCGATGCACATACGGCAGATTGTGATTTTGGGAAGGGGTTCAGAATTGATCATGCGCTTGATCAAATCACGTGCATTTACATTGTTGGGTTCCACGAGGCGTCACATCTGTCACACTCGTAGCGCCTTGCCTTCGTTGCTTTTGTGAATTGCTTCACTTCTTCTCTGGCGCTATTATCAACTTGTCTTCTGTCAGAGTCATTTTTGGTGATTCTCTTCCACGTTAAAGCGTTCCCTTGCGCTAGGGTGACCTCCTTACGCCCCAACTCGAAGCGTCTTACTGAAAGCATCATTGGTTTCTAGATTATCGTTTCTTCAGCAGGACGCCCATGGATCTCGCTGGTGTCTTTTAATTTCATGATTCTGGATTAATCGCCTCACCTCAAGACGGCACTTGCATTAGATGGCAGGGGGATCAGTAACAATTCTTGGTCGACCACCAAAAGTAACTCGCTGTATTTGACGAACGGTTGGCGACAAGCTCTGTTACGCTTTTGAAATCTATGACTGATATATAACAGACGGCGTTCAGATATACTTTGATAAATTCACTCCTTGGTTGAGGAAGCTTCAAGCGTTTGGGTTTTTATCGGTCGATGTACAGGGAGCTCCTGTGAGGTATGTCGATGGTTGGTTACACAGTATGGGCCGATTTGACTCAACCCACCTACGAAAGCTTGGGCGCACTCCGCGCTTTAGAGTCAACCCCAAGTCCTCGGTTTGCCATTTGTTGCACCAAAGGTTCTGATCCCGTAAAGCTTGAAGTTACTCTTCGTTTCCAAGGTAGTTCTGTGTTTGGACAGTCATCGTCGAGAGGCCCTTTAATCCAACCTCTGGTGGTCGCGCTTTACTGTAACTCAACGACGAATTGAGATGAACATTGTCCGCAGGAGCCTCTGTCCTGTTATCTATTATTCTTTCGCTTCATTTCTTGGCGCCGTCAAGCTGATACGCTTTTTTCATTTCAGTTCTTTGTCCAAGAATTTCATGGCGTCTCATATTCAATGGCAGATTCTCCTTGCTCCAGAAGGCCATGAGACGGCTTTGATTAACTTTCATCCCATTCCCAGGTAAATATGGCCGACAACAGGTTTATTTGCTTGTCACCGACAAATGAGTCGGACGCAATTGCTCGCCGTGTCGTTCAGAAACTCACCCTCTGTGGTAAGAACCGTGCTTGACGTGGTCGAACAATATGGTTCATTGAAACGACAGCGATTTGTATGTGATGGTGCGTCATTATGTTTTATAAATTATTCGCCAGAACTATGACACTAGGAACGTTTTAGCAACGCGGTTCCAATGTCGTAGGGGTCTCCTCGTTATCATATGGCCCGAATTGGGAATTAGTAGAGTATAAGTACATGATGACGTCAAGTATTAAGTTCCTGAATCGACAGATATCATGTATAGGATCCATGACCTATACGCATTTTGTGAGTTCCGCCAGCTGTTGTTTTGCGTCTCTGAACCCTGTTTCTAGCTCCCACCGACTCGAAAAACGGTAATGAACACGATTAGAATCCAAGCTCGCAGCTACCCTTGAAGCGGACTCTGAGACGAGGGATGGCGAAATCAGGACACCTCACATCAAACGGCAGAGATATCACTCACGATCTAGATCAGCTGGAGCAAACGGAGCATATGTCCAGTATACTCTCTCTTCTTCACTCCAATTAGGCTGATGTATAGCCCTGTTCTTCAGCCACTGCGCGTAAATCGCCCGCCCGCTTGATTTGGCCAGGCGCGGTGGACAGACGATCATTCCGTCTGTGTTCTCGTCCTCCAAATTAATTGTGACCTGTCTACCTTCATATTGTCGTTCGACAGTGAATGAGGATGGGGCGCCAAGGTCCGGATCATATCGAGGCTCAGAGTAACTCGATCCAACGGAGTGTGCATCGTCGTCGAGCTTCTTCCACGTATCTTCTAGGATCCTGCCAGAACCGCCAACCTGCGGAGATGAACGTGTTGGTGTTGAGCTTCTGGACGACGGCTCGCCGTCGTCTTCAAGTTGAGTCCGACCTCCGAGGGGTAGCGGCGGATACTGGAATTCCGGTCGTTGAATCTTTTCCCCCTACGAAAATGACAATACGTCAGTCAAGTCAAAACCACGACCACAACTCGAGGTTTCCTTACCTTGACGGATTCACTCTCCTTCTCTCTCAACTTCGCGATTTCCTTGCACTTCCTCCGATGCTTAATCCACAGCCCAGGATAATACTCGGACCGTTTGTCAAGTGAAATATCGTTATCGCAGCCTCGACAACGGACCCAGTGGACCCTAACCTTGTAGGCATATGGGTCAGCTTCGAGCAGCGCTTTTCGTTCCATAGCTTTCTGTTCCTTAGCTGGCCTTGGACCGTAAGGACCACGAGCGCCTCTTGTCCCCTTTTTAAAACTGGCACTTCTACGCGACCCTTCATCCTCACCATTACGCCTCCTCTTCAATGGCCGCTCAAGGATTCCATTCTTATGTTTCGTCACGGCTCTAGAGCGCTTCCCTTGCGCAGCGGTGACACTGGGAGAAGAGATGGTTAGTTCCAAAATCCGGTCATGCATTTGATCACTAGTACCTGGCCTCTGCGAAGTCGCTGTCGCCTTGGAGGGTGGGTGTGTTTCTCGAGGGATGGTCGATGGGGATGTAGTTGCTATTCGATGATATGTGCTGTTTTAAAGCTGTGGCGCTGGAAGCTCTCAGTTAATCTCTCGACTCAGATTGACTCTGCAAGAACTCACGTAAAAGCGTCGTCGTCATTGTAAAGGACGTTAGCTCTGTTTCTCGACAATCCGGGCACGAGGGAAGGTGAGCGTATTTTCAATTTGAACATATCTTGATGACGTATCGGTACTCTGCTCGTAGCTGCGTCCCCTACGACGGCCATGAGCATAGGTACGATTACTTGTGTGAGAGAGGGAAGAGGGGAGAAGTAAGATGTGGGCGGGGAATCACTGTGCGGATGCGCACCCGAGTTCTTCGGTCACGACTACGTGTGAGATGGAATTGGCAGTTGTGATGTCAAAATTGCACGTTACATTGCCGTGGTCCTTCAATGTTGCCACCAGCCGGTTTCAACGTGTTTTTGGTGCAGCTGATCCTATCGCGTTTAAAGGGTCTGGAGACTTGAAACTTAGGCTCCTGAATTATTGGTTGTAGACCTTTTCTTGCGAGTGGGTCAAACACCCTTCAGGTGTGGTCAATCCTCACAACTTCCAGACAGCTAATTTTCATCATCAAGGAGACGGAAAAACGAGGACGTATGGAATCCAGACCTCAAACATGGGTGAGACAATCGATGGGAATGAAGGGGATGCGATCCTTGATAAACCTAAAGAGAGGGAGTGACAGGTATAATGGCCTCGCTGTGTCTCTGAAGCGTTGTGAGAGGGAGTTTTCGGCCCAGCGTTGCTTTCGGTATCTTAAATTTACAGCTTGACAGCCCTTGCCACGATCCCGATCGATCCGTTATAGGGTTGCCCGCACCTCGCTCTCGGTCAACCGTTACGGAATTTGTCAAACCGAGGACGCTGAGCTTAACATACTTAATTTCGATCTCCTCTCACATATTTTGCAGCTCTGCGCAGTCCACCCATGGCTAGCTGCTCCTTTACCATCCCGCATCGTTCCCCAACGCAAATGTCGACCCGTTGCAGCCTCGTGTCCGTGCGGAGTCCGGACAGGGGTAGCTTGTTCTTCTTACTCGTGTTTTACCCTGAGTTTAGAATCCCTGCTCAAAAAGTTATCCTGCTCCAGACAAGCTCTAGACGACGATTGGCGGAGGTCAATATGACCCTGTTTTAGCAACTTTCTGTACGGCATTATATATTTCGCCCCATTGCATCATTTTTTTGGGGGCTGCGTTCCCTAAAATAAATACCTTGCGTTGAATGCATGTCTTGAAACGGAAATGAGTGGGACTTAACTGTGCCTCGGGAATATTTTTCTACTTCCCCTAACCAGGTGGTGTATCTGGGAGCAGAAACGAAGGACATTACATCGTATCTGATGCTTGACTCGACGTGAAGCGAGTGTATGATGCGGTTTTCGAGATTCTTTACAACTTCTGACAGCTTCTCCACTCAACACGAGGAGGCAGAAGTAGCGCTGGAGAATGTTCTACGTTGCTAGCTTGAAATTGCGCAGACATAACGTCAGTCGTTCCTCCACGTTTCAAGGTTCGAGGTGTTGTCCATGTAACGCCGTTTAAACTTGGCGCCCAACTATCCTGGACTACCTTATTGGCTTACCAGTATATCCGACGGACTAAGTATTACGACTGCTCAATGTTCTAATGGTCCCAATGCCGTTTGACAATCGGAGTTGTCAACGGCGGGCGCTGGCCCACGGTTGGGCAGTCCAACTGCCTTATAAGCACGCTCTTCAAATCTGAGTGCAACTCAATGTGTTTCTATGAATTGATCACGATAGGTCCAAAACGACGGTATCTGCATGAATCTAAATGTTTTCAGAAAGATCTGCGATGCAAGGTCTTCATGCTCCTCCACCCCTAGCACCACCCTCACCTCCCACATTCCTGGGTGCCACAATACGACGTTGAATATTCAGCCCCTTCACCCCTTTCAACCCCATCATTCCCACTGCCCTCGGTTCCAAACCCGGCGGCAGCTCGCCCTTTGTCCATCCCAACGCCTCCACCGCATACTCCGACGCCGCCTCCACCAACTCCTGCTTGCTCATCCCCATCGCCTTCGAGTATCCATTATAATACCCCAACCATGCGCGGTAAGCCTGCTCCTTCATCTCCCTCGCCACGTTTTCTAGGGACAGCGGGATAGAAGAGGGAGGAACAGGGGCGGGGGTTAGTGGGATGTCGCGCATCCCTGGAGTGCCGAGAAAAAATTTCTCAGGAGAGGAAAGGAGGAGGATGCCCCGCCCTGCAGCGCCCGCGCGGGCTGTGCGTCCGAGCCGGTGAATATATTGGTCACTGTTGGCGGGGAGTCCGACTTGCAGGACGAGTGTCACTCTGTTGTTGTGTCTTAGTTTACGTACAAGTATGGGCGGTCAAGGGGAGGACCTACCCGGGGAAATCCATGCCCCTTGCGGCGACATCACTGCTGAGTAGCACGGCACTCTTTGCTACCTTGAAAGCATCAGCCGCTTTGATGCGTGCAGGCTGACTCTTCCTCGAATGGATTTCCAAAATTGGGGGTAATCCATCCAGTTGCGAGAGCAGTTCCCGGGCAAAGCCGACTTGACGGGCTGTGGGGAAGAAGACCATGCATTTTGAAGAACCGGGATGCGCGAGCATGTCTTGTTGTATGATGGAGACTGCTGTTGAGATGAAGTTGGCTTGCGGAGTGATGATGTAGGTTTGTTCAACTAAAAGAGAGTATGTGGGAGGCTGAAGGCACAAAGGGGGCGAGACTAACCATGCTCGTGTGTGTTGGTTTCGTCCTCCAAGAGTGTAGAAACGAAGGAGTAGCCAGGACGAAGAGCACCAGCGGCGACCTAACCGAACTTCTTGAGTGTCATGTGAAAGATGTGTGACTAACATACCGCCTTGATTTCCTTGCTAACGGTGGCCGAGAACAGCAAAGCCTGCCTTGTGTGCCTCGGAGGCAGAAACCCCGAAATCGCATCCAGTGCAGGCTTGAATCCTTGGTCTAACAGTCTGTCAGCCTCATCATAGACGATAGTCTTGAGTTCTGACAGCCGGTCTGGAAGAGAAGACGAGCGGAGGTGGTCGAGTAGCCTTCCAGGTGTGGCAACGAGGATATCACAAGGCGAGTTGATGAGGCGTTTCAGTTCGGCTGTTTGACTGGAGAAAGTTAAATGGGTATGAGGGGCGTGTGTGTGAGGGGGGGGGGACACGTACTTTGTACCCCCAATGGCATGTTGTACCGAGAAAGTGTGGTGCGCGAGGAGTGTCTCTGCTTCTTTTTGGATCTGATGGAAATGGATAAGAATCGGGCCGGGCATGGTGGGAAGGACGTACTTGGAGGGCGAGTTCGCGGGTCGGAGATAACACGAGGATGGACACACCCCGGCGTGTGTTTACAGGGGCTTTCAAGAGACGCTCGATAGCAGGCAGTAGAAAGGCGATGGTCTTTCCTGGGAGCAATGAGTGCCATACCAAAAGACTGTCCAATGAATCTTACCTGTGCCCGTCTTTGCTTGCACCAGAAGATCATTCCCAGCCAAAGCTAAGTCCAAAGTAGCGGCTAAGAGCGTTATTAGTGGAGGAAGACACGCAGGGGGTGGGAACGAACCTTGAACATCGGATAAAAACCTTAAGATCACAAAAAAAACATGAGCTAGTATACTTTTTGAGAAGAGTAGAACGAACTTACTCATGCTTCAAACCAGCTTTCGACTGGTTGGAAATTGGAGCATCTGCAAACTTTCTCTCTGAGAAATGGCGGCCAATAGTCGTAGGGGTCGCAGACCTTTCCTCAACCACAATTTCAGCCCTTGGCAAAGAAGCGAGATTGGTGGCCAATCCCCTCGTTCCTGTGGCAGAAACAGTCACTGGCCTTGAACGCCCTCGTCCCCTCGCAGCACCTCTAATAGCCGGCCGAGGCAAACCACGAACGCCAAAATTTGGGTTTGTCGGCATTCCAGAAAGAGTAATATATGACCTAGACGGGCCTTGGCTGAGACTACGGGCTGCAGTAGGGATTATGGTTCGGTGCATAAAGGTGAACAGAACGAACCGTAAAAAAAAATGATGCCAGCAATACCTTTCAAAATCAACAAAAACAAACAAAAGCATCAGCCACAATTCTCCATAAATGATAAATCAACCTGATGTAATTTTCAAAACGACAATGTCAGGCCACTAGATTCGTGAATTTTGCTATATGCAACTCTTATCTCGAGCGATAATCTCTCAATCCAATGTCCACGGCGTATCGGCAGACTTTCAATTGAGCTGCGCTCCGGGTCCGACGAAATGTCTCAAACCACATCGAATATAGAGCAAGTTCCGTGGGTCCCTCTATCTCATGGCGTATCTTGTCCCCATATTTTTATCACTCGTCTTGGCTCAGCGCGCGGCGGCACAGGTATTTGGGCCGCCTTTCAATAACACCAATGGGTCTAGTGGAAGCTCTACAGGCGCTGGACTGGTCGTTGGGGTAACTTTTGCGGGTGGGCGTCAAACATTGCTATGTACCGTCACTTTAACCACTGATATCCGCCTCAGCACTCGCAGGTTGCATCGCTATCGCATTCATACTTATCGCAGTGTTCACTTCTGATTGCTGCCGCAAGAACCATTCCGCGCCTCCTGCACATCCCCATCGCACATTTATGAAGCATCGTCCGTTCTCTGGTAACTCTTGGCACCACTCAGGTCTCGAAGCCCAGCATCCCGTTGGCACCTTGGGGTATGGTCATGAATCCCCCTCTCATGCGGTAGATACGACCAATACGGAGTATCCCCCTGCGAACGCGCCTTTGCCTCCCCCGCCTTATCGGAATAATTCAAATCAAGGCGCTACGGATGTGAGTGATCCACATCAAAACGCTACGCATGTGAGTGAAATAGACCCTGTCTTGATTCGTTACAGCTTACCTTTGTAGGATTCTGAATCGCCTCCTGCGATTGAGGAAAATGTGGACGCTGTATGTGCCTATTGATTTCTTCACCGTGTTCTTATATCTTACTCTTTCGAAGCCGCCGCCTGCGTTTCCGAAAAATTCTCATCGCTGGGTATGTATCCTCCTCTGACTGATGTTTCGACGTGTTGAACATATTTTCAGGAATTTTGGGGTCGCACTTGAGTCTAAGTTGACCTATACTACTGAGGATTTGAAGCTTCCTCGCCACGATTATATCTTCCATGATCACTAATTATCTATGTAATGACGTCTTGTTTATGTGTAGCTCTAGTTTCTAACGAATTTTTCTTCTTGGCATCTCCACGAACTTGTCAAGTCCAAAAAGCTTGTTTTGAACTTGTTTGGTCTTGTTTTCCACGTGGCCTTTTTCCGACATGTTCGGACGGACTCTGACATTTTCCGAAGCCTCCAAGTTCATCGGACATGAACTCGCCCCGTTCAAGAATTAGACCACCACGACCACCGGTGAACGAGAGAATCACCGTCTAAGACTCTCTCACCCAACCCACCACCACCTCCAACATTCCACTCCTCATACTTACCTCCATACCGAATGCCCAGTGACAGGGAGAAGGACAAACCAAAAACCAAAAGAAAGCCAGGGCGCGCGTGAGCTTCTTTAACCGCATTGCCGGTGCCTGTATTTGCTGACACTTCCTAGTCAGACATCTTGTGCAGAATGTAGACGTCTGAAACTTGGCTGTGACCGAGGGGTGAGTACGCATCAACAGTCACTGCCTTATTTATGGGCGCTGTTTGCCATGGGACCCGCTCATCCATGTCCTCTTCCCCTCCCTGTTCGGAACAGGTCCCATGTGGAAAATGCGTTGCGAGAGGGTGCGGTTCGATATGTCCAGATGGTACGTTGCCTCTCGGATGGCTTTTGAAGATGAACTGATAAGAGTCATTTAGGGATATTAACATCCGGGAAAGGAGGCCGGATGATCCTCACCGGCACGGAAGAGTTGCATAGTACAATTGAATCCCAATCTTCACGAATTCGAGAGCTAGAGAACGCGCTCAAGACTCTACAACCGGGTGTATCTGATGGGTCCCATGCACTCTTACGCACGGATGTCCTGCACACATCATCACAATCAAGATCGGCGGCATCTGCATCTTCGCCCTCTGCGCATCGCCCATCTTCCTCGAGCCAATCATCGACTGCATCCGTGATCAACTCAGCACCTCACGTGCGAGAGATCAAGACAGAGGATGAGGGCAATGTCATTGATGCTTTCGGTACGTTGATTCTTGCTCTCATTCTTCTCTCACTAGACCATAGTCCATCCTTAGGCACCTTGACGATTGGCCAGAATGGAGAAGCTAGTTTTCTCGGGAAGACGGCCCGCTCAGAAGTATGTCCTAATCATCCTCTCGTTGAGCAGTCACGATAATTGATGCTGCATAGTATCTGATTCGAGTATGTCTTCATTACTTCTCTGTTTGCTCGCTGAATTTGGTTTATAAAGGCGCCAGCGAAGCAAGAACGTCCTGTGCCCATTCACTTCCCCCGACTGCCCAAGAGAATGATGGAGGCTTCCTCTTTATCGTCGCCAATGACGTCGAACATTTACGACTCACACGATCAAGACATGTCCTCAGTAGAGGACGTCGCCAACCTAGAAAAAGATATAGTCAAACTCCTCCCTCCTCTATCAGAAGCGTTCCATTTATGCGAGGTGTACCTCGAAAACGGAAAACATGTGTCCGTTTCCAATGTATCAACCAGGGGGAAAACTGATGAGTGGGCACAGGTACACAGCCATACCCAGAACGGAACTGTTCGATGAGATCGTGACTGTCGTTTATCGAACAGAGTGCGTACCTCATTTCAAATGCCTTCACCTCACATCCTCACTCCCAAATTAGACCCTTTGCTACCTTCCAATCCCATCATGCGCTAGCCCTCCTCTTCATCATTTTTGCCATTGCCACGCATTTCGATCCTAAAAAGCCTCCATACTCGATTGAAGCGCAAGAATACTACCACCTCTCACGGACATCTCTGAGCCTTTCACCGCCCGTGCGCGAGACGACCCTGGCGTCCATTCAGGCATTGGTTGGTGTTCTCAATGCTTTTCTTACTTCTTGCTCACTGGCCATTAGATTCATATGGCGCAGTTCTTGGATTTCAGCGATTGGGAGTCGGGAGGGTCTGATTCAGCATGGATGCATACTGGGCATGCTGTGCGACTTGGATATGGGGTATGTTCTTATCTCGTCGTTCTTGGCTTTGGCTAGAACTATTCTCTAGATTGGATTGCGTGAGTGCTAGGAGTGTCTTTTGCTACGCTACTTGTTCGATAAACTCAACACATATCTCATCAGACTTGAACGGGACACGCTGGAAATTGCGGGACGAAGTAATTCAGAGGCGTAGTCGGGTTTTCTGGCAGTTATTCGTGTTGGATACTTGTTCCGTGCGTCTGACGCCTTCTCTCCCGCCCTCAGTTTCTAACATCGTTTTCTTTGGACAGAGTTTCTGCTTTGGACGTCCACCGGGGATCTCACCATCATACATCGATTGCTCTCTCCCCAAAGAGGCCATTACGGAACTAACCTGTGCGTTTCCTCTACCTTCTATTCAACCCATCCACAAACCTATCACATGCAGTCCATACCTGGAACTACCAGTACACGACCTTGTTGCAATCCGTCATGGCTACCACCCTTGGGCCTCGCCAGCCGCCTTACTCTACCGTCCTCGAGCTCGACAAGCTGATCCGTGACTTTTCCGTTCCAGCCGTATGGCGGATGACAACGCAGGACGAAATAGAGACCTCGCCACAGCCACAGCACATCCACATCCAGCGGTGGTTGATACTCGCTAGCAAAGAATCTAGTAAGTCCATTCCATACCAATGTACTCCGATTAGCTGAAAACAACGAAATAAGCGATCCTCAACCTACATAGAGCCTACTTCGCGCAAACCCTCCATGAAAGTCCCACTGAACTGCAGCGGCATCGGCACATTCCCTCAGTGTTGGCGATATATCGCTCTGCCTGGAGGCTCATCCGGGGACTACGGATGACCTGGGCTTCCGTACCCCACCTATTAACACGCGTAAACTTACCTTGGTCCCAAGCGCTTTCTGCAGCGGTGAGCTTTCCCATTGGTTGTCCGACAGGGTTTCATTGAATCAGTTGGATGCAGATTGTGATGTGTCTGCTTGCTACGAAGGCGCCAACTTCTCAGCTCGCAGCATTGGCGTTGGAAGAGATGGATTTGGTGGTGACGATGTTCCAAGCAGCATCTGGGACGTGTCGGTCAGCTGCTAATTTGTTGGTGAGTGATGACCCATCTACGTTGATACCTCTCTCACCTCCTTCCTAGCCTCCCCTTCAAAGTTTGCGTCGGAAGGCGTATGAAGCTGCGGATCCTTCTCGACCATCTCACTCATCAGTCGCCTCATCAAACACTGATTCTACGTCAAGCTCGAGTTTTCAACAACCCATCTCCCCCGCTGAATTGGACAGGCTCACGGGTAAAACCCATCTCTTCTCTCACATCACCACCACAATCACAACCAATACCAACACCGCTAGCATGAGCAGCTCCCCTACCCACAGGTCACGCTCCACGTCTGTAACACTGACATCGGATAATGCAGATCACATTCACCATCCATCATCTCTAGCAGGGTATTCCACAAAAGCGGGGACGATACATCCAGTCCTTGCGCACGACGTGAGGGAATTTGAGAGACTCTCTACCGGACGTGTGTTTTCAATGTATGATTGCGCGGCCGATGATGAAATGCAGGTGGAGGATGAGCGGGGGCACCAATTTGACTCACGCACAACTTTGCCCACGTCGTTACCGACACCGCCTCCCCCGAACATAAGGACGTCCATCTCGCCTTCCCGTCCTCCCTCTCACTCTTCGCTTCACAAAAGACATCCTGAGCACTCATTACGAAGGCATCACCCTAACCCCGAACCCGACCCCGAACCGCGCGCACGCCATGATTCTCTGGAATCCCAGCGATTGCCTCATTCTTCGGGGTCTTCTCTGTTATTGTCTGGGGGCCTTGTACTTGATTCAACGTGGCAGAGTTTCGTCGAACAACTTGGATTTTAGCTTTTCGGAGGAAAATGGAAGATTTGACTTTTGATGAGTGAAGCTTTCGGAAGTCTGAAGGGTGTATGATACCGAATGATTGTACTTATAGTAAGGGACTGACTATGTACTCTACCCATCGATTGAGGAACATGGAAGGTTAAAACGAACGATGTGCAAACTAGTAGGACAACTGACAGTATTTGAAGAACCATTTGCTACTATAGGTTGCACGCATTCATCTAATGGATATATTTTGATCGCATTATCACAGACCTGGGTGGCAGAAAAAGCATGAAGACGGATTGGCCCGGGTACAGAAAAGTAGAGGAGGGCTCTGCGATCAATCCGCGATAATTAACATGCGAACTTCTGTGGCCCCGTTGAGAAAGCAAATCGGAGTGCCAGTCAGTGTAAAGATTCACTGAGTTGACTCCCGTAGTCGGTCTCCACAGGCAAATACGACATAGAAGTCGCAACCTGAGCAATAAACTAGAAGATTGCATCGCTTTCAAACTTCTTTCGGCTGTACCTTGACATTGCCTCATCCAAAGTTGTTAACGACGTGTGAGTTGAACTATTCCTAAAAGGTGCGAGGCCCTGACAAATGAGGATCTTTTCTATAAAAGTGCAGTAAAATGGTCAAGGATGCGGGTTTTGACGCAACTTGAACCAGCGGGAGAGAAGTCGAGTGGGATAGACTCAGACTTTTCTGTTGGAAAATTGAGAAACGCGCCCAGATCAGGATGGGATCTGCAAATTGCGTTTGCAAAATCTCTGTGGTGAAAGAGACTAAGTAGATCGTAAGGGTCAGTATTGACATATTGACGATCGATAATGTCAGAGGTCCACTGGGTGCTTTGAGCTTGAACAACTGAAGATTTGCATGTTGAAAGCATATCGCGTAACTGAACCTGTGCATGGGCGATAACGTTAACGCCCAAGCGGAAAGAGCTTCTTTACAAAACTTTCACTACGCGTCTACTTTCACGTCAAAAACGACAACTCTAACGTTTCATGCGGCAATCAGAGGGGGCACTGACGTATAAATGCTCGACTCGCAGTGGAACCTCCAATACTACCAAGCCGTAAGAATATCGCCATGCAACCCTTTTGCGACTCCTGCTTCTGGGGAGTATGCCCGCTTCACCCCCCGCCTTTCCAGCTACCAGGTATGAAGCCACTCTACATTCACATCCACGCCACTGCACACCGTCACAGAGAGTAATAGTATGATCAACCATTACAACGAACCGGGAGCGCAACCGTTGATGCTGCCTGTTGACCCAGTCCTTGTCAATTCAGAGATTGGCATGGAGCCACTCCTTCGTCCGGTGGTAGCGTCGCCGCAACAAATTTCCGCCTCCAAAAAACGCAGAAGGAGCGCCGTTCAAGTTGGGAATTTTGTTTGCCAAATATGCTTCCAGGATTTTACCGCAAAGCACAATCTAGAGAGTCAGCTTCCCATGTCATCCTTTTTCGCGACTCTGACCGAGAAATTCTGTAGATCATATCAATTCTCACTTCCAGAGAAAAACTTACCGTTGCATTGGTGGCTGCGAGAATAGATTTGGGACGAAGTCGTCATTGAACCGACATCGTAAGAGGTGCAAGGCACAAGGTGGGGGCGTGCCGGGTGTCTAGAAGATTATTCCATGTTGATATCTTAGCCCCACTGTGCATCTAGAATTTAGTACTTACCGTCATGTCACCAACTTACCCAACACACCTGGAGTCTCAAAGAGATGAGCGCCTTGCAGATGACGCACTGAGACATCGATTCCTGTTTGCAGCAAGTTTGCAGCTCCAAAAAGCTTATGAAAAGGACTTCCAGTTTGGGCCCAGTGACTCACGACAGTGAAGAGGGTGCCTTGATAGATGATCGACCGTGGTCTCCGGAGGGTAGATATCTAGATGCTGAGGCTGGAGAGCGTACCATTCGCAGAGTAGAACGGAAGAGCATCGAAAATCTTATTGGTTCATCAAACATTCGGAAGCAGCCGGACTTCATTACGTTTGATGAAATCCAAACAAGCTAGTCGCCTTCATGGGCTCCACGGTGCGCGACTAGGGCACGGTCACTTTACACCTGCAGTTCCCTTTGTGAAGGTGTTGTATCAAATATGGGGCCGGCCGCCCCGTGAAGAACTCAAGGCGGCCAGACGCGTTGTTTGCTTTTTACACACCATTGATCCACCACTCCTAGACCTCCTGTATGCGGTGAATCTATCGTTGCGATTCGGGTCTCCTTTTGTTTCATGTGATACGTATTACGAACCGTTCCGATTTTTTTTTTGTCGGGACGGCACAGCGTTCCAAGGTTTATTTTGGGAGTTCCATTTGCAAGATTTTGTCGTGCTGGGGGGAATTTTTCTACATCCCACTCCTCATGTGTTGAATTGGTGTGGATAATGACAGCCAAATGCAAAACCCTAGACACCTCCCGAAAACTTCTGGTCTCTGCCTCGCTTTGTGCAAACAACCGCACTTGGCACAAGTCCGTATCATTATAACCTCGAGTGGAGTGTGGAGCACTCCATATACCTGAGTTGGTGGAGGATTTGCGTCATTGATGCCCGCTTCCTTCCTCAAATGGTTGTTTACACAAAGCGAGGCGGAGTTGAGAAGTTTCTGCAAGGTGTCTAGGGTTTTGCATTCAGCTAGAAAGTATGATACAATATATTTGACGGTTACCATCCCCAGCACACAGAGATGTATCGGATTCCAGGTTGACCACAACCTGCTTAGATTTTTTTTTTCAAGCATCGATGTTTGTGTCCTTTTAAATTTCTTGGGAAGAAGTGTCCCCTCAGCGTGTGGAATTCTTTTGTCAACCCACGAAGGCTATGTCGAAGTGTAATTTTGTAATGTCTATCTCGCAAGGGCGACGGGAGTTTGAGAATTCTAGATAAAGAATGATTTGCATTACCCTTCTTGGTTACTTACATGTGTATTTAAGCCTGTCGTCCAAGATTGTCGAAACTCGAGACTCGAGATCTCGGGCTTTCCGTTCGGTTTTCGGACATTTTGCTAAGTTATGACTGTAGTTAGTGGGGCGCTTCAGTTGGGCGCTTGTTGTCATACTAGCGTTGACATTCAAAGGCAGAACGCGAAGAATATTGGCGTAGTCTGCCAGAAATAGTACGTGAATTTGTTCACTGTCTGGCGCTTTTTCTAGCGCTACGCTCTGACGCCACTTCGTAATCCGGACATCGTGTTGGTGACAAGTTGGTGGGATTTTCAAGAAAATCGGCGTATTTATGCTTGTTTGGTCAAAAATAAGGCCGCCCAAGGTCGTGTTCTTGGAGGCGGTGCTCCACTGCTGCGTGCAATGTAGGAATGCCAAGAATAACAACGACGTCTCATCCCATCCTCCATCATGACCACTTCGCGGAAGATGCGAGCGCATGTCCTCCTGCTCCTCTTCCTCTGCTCGTCATCAAATGCCCAACAGACGTATTATAATAGCAGGAGAACTACCCTATCGAGAATTTTGGCAGGGTGCATAGTTGGTATGTGGTACATTGGTCACAATTAACAGCACTTCCTGACTTTCAAGCGTGTTCATAAGCTGTAGTGATTATATCGGCACTGCTCTGGTATTCACAACGCCAACGCCGAATGCGTCGCAATCGCCCTCTAATCGCCGTCACCACTGTCCCGCAAAATCAATATTGGGCTGGTGGCGGCCCTGCTCCGTATCAGGGGTTCCAAAGTCCCGGACCTTCCTATAATCCACCTGTGGGTGGATACAATGAATTTCCATCGTACCCACCAAATTATGCACTTCCGGCATATGGGAAAGACGCACCCGGAGGCTTCCAACAGTACCCTCCTGTAAGCACTTATCTTTCTTCTCATAGGTTTATTCAAGCTCATGCCTCACAAAAGCCAACTGGTTCTGCCCCTTCAAATCAAATTCCATACTCATCAGTGAGGTTGTTTGTGCCTTCTGAAGCTTACAACTGACCGTTTTGAGCTCAGGTAAAGCATCCAGTGCCTGCACACGTCACGGTATGAACTTCGAATTCCGTACGAAAATAACAGGCTGAACGCCAAGTAGGGCCAAGATGGCGCAGGGAGCCCTTGGAGTTGATTAGATGAGCAGTAAGATGGTAATGACGTTATGTGGAGATGATTTGTACGTCTCATGATTTGAGTCGTAAAAGTTTCTCCGCCGAATTTGATAATGATTTCCAGCGATGATACAACACCATCGACCGTTTTAACGAACTTCTTTTTCTTGACGCGGAACACTTTGCTATCAAGTTAGAATCGATTAATCGCCCCAGCATTTATGGACTTGAAGTGGTATTCATGGAAAGTAATTTGACGGACGTAGTTAGCTTGGACCGTAAGGTTAAGAATGTAACAGTAAAGGAATTATGCCATACGTTCGAACTTTCTGAACTGATATCACATTTGTCGAAAGCCAAGGACATATCAGTGTTTGGGAACAATAAGAGGATACAGTTCGTAAAAACATTTCCATGAAAGCCCCAGAAGATACGTAGTACATAGTGAAGCAAGGACAACTCGTTGTCAACGTACATTTGCGAAGGGAAGGTAAGGAAAGTCTTACCTGGGATGTATTACGCCTCTCTCCGCTGACAGCGATATGGGAAGGATGAAGCTTACTTCCTGGCGTACGTGATCTATTTTTTTTTTTTTAAATTGGTCAGCGCGGACAACAGACGAGAAACGCAGGAAGGCCACCACGCACCTTGATTTTGTTCTCGCCATCCAGCTTGAAGTTGTGTAGGGCATCCTTAGCGACACCAGCGCTGCCCTCGTCCATGTACTCGACGAAGGCAATGTCGCGCTTTGTCGGGATAAGACGGACTTCGTAGAGGTTGGGGTACCTGAGCGGGCGATGTGTTAGGTTTGGAGCGTGAGTGATGATAAGAAAAGAAGGCCCGTGGGGCTCAGAATGGAACGGAAGAAGTGACAGGATTGAGGAGGTAGAACGTACTGGGAGAACAAACCCAAAAGTTGTTCCTTCGTAACGCTCTCCGGTAGGTTTTGCAAGAACAAAATCTTGTTTGGGGGGAGGTACTCGTCGGGCATTTGGACGTTGGGACGCTTGACGGCCGGCAGGGCAGCAGCACCGTCAACTTTAGTTTTTGAAAGTTAGGATTACGGGTACGTATGGGCGATAATGGACGTACTCTCTGCAGCAAGCCTCTTGGCTCTGAATTTGGATTTAACGGGGTTGGTGTATCGCGTCTTCTCTGCAACGAGATCAGCCTTGAGAATTGGCGGAGATGAACACATCGACGCACTCTTGTTTTCATCCCTCGTCGCCTTGTGCCCATCGAAATTTGCACCATCAATGCGCTTCACTACAGCGTCTGAACGGGTTTTCGCAAACGAAATTTGCTACGGGAGGTCATGAGCATACACGTCGCATCAAGAGAGATCAAGGGCACGCACCATAGGCTTGGAATACAACGGAAACCTCTGCACTTCCTTCATCGCTTTCTTAGCTACTTCCGGCGATGCAAACGATACGAACGCCTGTCCTCGCATACGAAGGTTGTTGTGCGCGACGACGTCGAGAACCTCGCCGTACGATTTGAAGAGGCCACGTAAAGAGGCTTTCAGCACTTCTGGCTTGATCTTCTCATTGAGGTTTTGGATGTACAGCGTCTCACAAGCCTTCTCCTCTTCCAAAGCTGGAGTTGGCTGGCTATCTACGACCATGGAGGATGCATTCGCGGTGGTGTCCAGAAGAGGCTGCGTTGGGGCTGGTGCTAGGTCGGCCATCGTCAGAATGAGTGTTGATGGTGGAGAACAAGGTTTGTAAGTGCGATTTGATGAAAATACAGTCTCCGCTCATAGTTCCGACATTCCAGCCATTGCAGATCTTGTACCAAAAATCAACACCGCTGCCTTTATCCATCTAAATTTGCTTGGTTTCCAAGGTAGGAGTCGAGCTACAAAACTTTTTGATATACCAACTCGGCCGCAAGCCTACATGTCCCCGTACTACGTAAGTCGTCAAAAATATTTTCTATTAAAAGGCGATAGGAACTTCCTGCACAGAGGTATCCTGGTTGAGGGGAGTCTTGAGGTCAGCTGGGTGGTAAATAATAATCGGAATCAAATAAATCAAATTGTCTAAGAATACCGTGTATAAGAATCCAGAAGTGAGTCCAAAATTGAAAAAATTGATGAAAAATATGTGCATATACACTCCCTCCTATGCGCTACATGACGAGTTCGTATCTCCCTTTGTCTCAACGACCTGATAATTCCCGTCAGCATGTGCCGTGAGTAACAAAAAATGGAAACTGACTGTTGTTACTGTAATGCCGTATTCAAGGTCTGGGGTGCGAGTTTGATACCCTTCGGAACTTTTTGGTGTATTGAGTTCATAGAATGGCGGAGAGGCTTGCTGAAAAACGGCTGAATCAAATTTTACTTCACGACGAACAAGTGATGCTTTCATACCGTCGGAAGATTGAATTCTCGCTAGATTCCGAATGAGCGTTGGACATCATAATCGGAAATTTACATACCATGTCCATTCCAACGTTGCCGCTCAAAGACAGCTGTCTGGGACCCGACGATTCTTTGAGTTCGGCGCGAGTGTTGAGTGTGGATAATAAACAATTGGAGTAGAGTTTCGTTAATGCTAAATCCCAAACAAAGTTTCTTGATGAAGAGTTAGCGCTATAGACTCCGAATATCATGCTATTATCTAACGTACACGGCGGTGTGCTGCCATTTCAATAAAATTTATGTGAGTCAGGAATGGTAGATATTGGAGAAACTTACAGGAAGAGCTGAAAGGCGAACGTCACTGGGAGAATCACGTCAGACAAATGGCTCAACTTACTCATGAAAAAAATGACATCGCCAATCGCAAACAGAGAGCTACCGCCGATGCCATCAAGAGGGAGCTTACAGCGTAGAACAGTGTCGACCTACGTCAACAGGCCTGTCTGAACAGTCACTGTAAGGATCAAAGTCAGGAAAATTCATTGACGCAGGTATAGACAAGATTTCACTTCGAATAATTTTTGCGATAGCGTCGTCGGTAGCAATGAAGCCAGTTCTCCGTTTATTCTGTCGTTGAGCTCGTTAAGGCATCATATTACAACCAATAACGGACACTAAACTCACAAGCGTTATGACAAGCACCACCGTTATCATTACGTCCGATACAACGGCCGACAAGAGCCAAACCAACGCAGGCAAATGGAGTTCGGGTTTGTGAGCAAATACTTTGGTCTTCACGATACGGACAGTCGACCATGCTCCGCCCCCTAATCATAGAAGAAGAACTGTGATTATTTTATATACGCAGGATAGAGTTTAGATGTATACCCAGAGAGACAGTCGCGAAGAAGGCAATGATACCCCCAAGCAAGTTGCTCTTAGACAAGAGTCGGATGCGGTAGGCAAAGAAGAGTTGGATTGGCGTCGAGATCACAACCTGTAGCTGTATCGTTATTCCCATCGTGCGACCCACGCGAGACGGACGCACTATCGTGATTGGTTCTACCTCGCCAAGACAAGATCAAAACTGTTCCGTCGGCATTATAAGTGACTTTACCTGCGGCCAATACTGCTTCACAGTGAGGTGCGCATGGAGGTCTTCAATTAAAAAAACGTACAGGTTGGGAAAAACTTTGTGGTGTCTGCCTTTCCAAAGTTATTGATAAGCGTTTGATACATCATCGCCATGTCGCATCCAGTATTAACGGTCTCTATGACAAACAGGTAGAGAACCTACGTTGAAAATGTTAGATAGTGCCATGATAGGACCGTCATGCCTCGCTTACGAGACATCTTATCCAATGGACGTCCCTAGAAGTACGTTAGAGAGGAAGGAGAGGTATGTATCCTGGACGTGCCCCTTATACGATAAATAATAATGATAGGTCTAACCCCAATCTCAGAAACGTCGTTGAGCAGATGTGGCGCAGACCAACGAACCTGAACGATCAATATCTGCAAAGTGTTAGATTGAAACGAAGAACGCAGCTATACAATTACTTACGCCGTAGAGGATCATGTTGAAGAATACCCCGATAAGCATTGGCCCAAATCTGCCGTAAATAATATTAGGGTGAAAGCGTCGGAAAAATAAACGACGAACATGAGTGTCACATTGGGTGCCATGGGCACTTCAGCCATTTTTTCAAAGTAGGAAAATGGCACTGAGTAAAAGGACGACGGGGTACGCATCAGCGACCACGCAGGAGCCAGCCTTTATCGGAAGCTATCGAGACGTATCACCGAACTTTCTCGGTTCTTGAGAGTGACCCCGGGAACTCAATGTCGACTAAAACTACAGGAGGGTTCACGCATGCAGCAGAAGAGTGGTGTTTACCACTTTGCAGCCTTAGGATGACTGCGGCTCGGCTTCCAACGATTTCCTGGTATGGCTGTGTACGGCATCGAAGGTTCTTTTGGGCTTCGACGAGGAAGGGCGTTATGATCAAAGTGTAAAGATTCGAGGGAGTGTGTGCTTACCGATCCATCTCCTCAGCCTACAACCCGAAAACGCCTTTCTAAATTCTGCCACTTCATTACAAGTCAACGTTGATGAATGAGACGGCAATCGGTTGAATGAACGTTGCAGACACATTGGTGTCATGGGTATCAGGTATTCAAAGCTCCTTGCTGGTTCGATCCGCATGGCCAGAGATTACGGTGTCGTTGTGTACAAGAATGGCCAAAGAATCTGAGGGTGAGAACTTGAAAATGAAAAATTTGGTCGTATTTGACAAGGCCCTCTGCCAACCTGCTGTTCAAGGCCACACTCAAAATCCGTATACTGACCTACATAATGGGGTTCACATGCGGTTTAGAAGCGTCAAAAAGAGGCGCGACGTAAAATTCCAAGATAAACCGGTGACTTAACTCCGACTCGTGGGCCGTGGCTCGGACAAATTCAAGCTCTTCAAAAATCAAGTCGATAATATATTTGGGGTGAGGTCAATGGTGAGGTCAGGATAAGGGGGCACGTAAAACGGCGTCGCGTGCCTGTGATATATTGTCGAGACCAGTCACCCCATTATGATGACGACAAGGTGAGAGCTTTCCATCGGACCAGGTTTGTGCGACGAATATTTACGATCACCAGAAACACTGGCGCATCATTCGAAAGGCGCCGGTTCGCCATTTATTGCTATTTTACCTGTACAACCACCTTGAGAACGAATGGTCCATACGCGAGTCCAAATTACGAAAGAGAGATATATATATATGGGAAATTACGAAAGAGAGATATATATATATGGGAAAATAAACTATGAACGCCAAAAAGCGTAAATACCCTTTACACACAGAGAACAAAGTGAAACAATTGTCGAGTTAGGACCTAGGTAGGGAGATGGATCCAGATGAAGGAAGACGCGGGGCCTGGGTTTGGCGCTTGACCTGAGCCTCCATCTTTACACGCTGCTTCCTGATATCATCGTCCTTCAACTTGACGGATAGTGTAGAGGCAATGAAGTTGTCAGGACTTGGTGGGAGAGCAAGCGGTGATATGTGGTGTAACATGTGAAGGACGGCTTCGTCGTTGGTCGACTCAAGTATTTGGCGACGCAGGCAGGAGATGAGAGCAAGCCCGATACGAATAAGGAACGGGACACCTAATGACGACATGAGAACGGCAGAATAGATGGGATGGGTCGCGTACCTTCATATAGAAAAAGGTCCCAGACGCGGTTGAGGTACTCCGGTGGAAGGGTTCCGACGAAAAGAGAAGAGAACCTGTCAGACGGTCAGCAAAGAAGAGGGTGTCAAAGGAACGTTTGCCTACCAAGGGGCACATATCGACGTTGGGTTCATACCCATATCAACGAGAATCTTCTTCCCAACAGCAGGATCGTTGTTTTCTAACGCTCGACTGAACAAAGCTGAATCAACCTCCATCTGCGTCGTCAACGACGAGAAGTATGGCCTTAGGTGCGTATCCATGACAGAGATGAAAATCCAAAACGCATCTTCCTCTGGCGCCAAAAGTAAAAGCTGCCCAACGATGAGTGTCAATCCTGGCGGGATACGCGTTAGCCTCACGACGTAGGGAGGACAGGAAGTGGGAACATGCCTCTCGAATACTGAATGTCAGGGACCATATTGAAATACGCCTGCAACAAACTCAACACCGGCCCCTGGGTGCCCTGCAAATGCGGTTGGTCCTGGAAGAATCGTGATCCCATATCCTTCTCAATCTCCCCCGAAGCAGGTACACCTCCCCTCGAACAAAGCTGCGAATACACCCCTGGTACACATCTCGCCTTTCCATCCGTAAGGTGTATCCAAACAAGGTAACGCACAGAAGATGGGACACCTTCTAGCAAGAGCTTCCGCACCTTCTTGCTCTTACGTGCCTGAGCCGGAGGCGACGCGGACATCAGCGTCATCCATTTGGATTCCCGTTGACGATGAGCGTCCATGGAGGATTCGGCGTCAGCTGCTGGACGAGGTGGTACCGCGGAAATGCTGGTGAAGGACGGTGACGTTGAAGGCCCGTCTACAGTAGGAGACCGATGCCCAGACCCAACGGAGACAGCAGGGCTATCAGCACGCAAGAATCCATCTTGACGTAAATCCAAGGAATTCTCTCGGCCTAGAACATTCGAGTCTTCACTTGCCCTCGCAGCCTGCAACTGCGCAAAGTTGGGCCGCACAAGCTCGAACTCCATATCCTGCACTTGTAACATCTCCTGCTCTGCTGCATGATGGAGAGAGCCCAAGCTATCTTGGCGACTCCGGTGCCTGCGAAGGTTGGGCAGGGAAAGTTTAGTTCGCAAAGATGGTTGACGGCCAAGGCTTCCAGGGGGAGGTGAGATAACTTGAGAACGGGAGCTGTGAATCGATGCTGCGTCCGACACGTCCTGGGTTGATGAAGAAGATGGGGGAACGGGGGAGGTACCACCAATTTGAGTAGATGGGCTTTGATTCTGGGGTGGAGACTTCAGAGACGAGGGCCCTTGCGGTGGTGGAGGTGGTTGTGAAGGCAATGTTCCTGCTCCCGAAGAAGTTGAAGGCCCAAAGTTTTGGGAGGGTTTCGTCATCAGTCCACCTCTCTCTCTCTCTTTCTTGGGAGAGGGAGGTTCGTTCAACGTCGGCCTGGACGTGAGATGTCCCAGCCCCCGTCCGATGGAACCAGAAGCGCCACCATGGGTCGGGGACGAAGGCAGCAAGGTGGGTGATGGAGACCGACCAGACGGTATTATTACGGACTGTGCCAAGGGGCTACTAGGCGACTTCAACGCACCAGGAACTGCACCAGGACGCAATCCGCCCCCTGTGATGGTGTTCCGCGGCAAGGAGAGTGGGGAGGGACGGAGGGGGGAAGTCTTGATAGGTGGTTTGTCATTAGGTGTTGGGGAGAGCGATGTTGAAGGGGTTGTTCCGCCAGGAGAGGGGGAGGATGTGGATGGCTTGATACCGCCTTTTATGGACACGTCATCACGAGCAAAGCTACATTACTTAGTTAGAATCATTCAACGCGAAAAACGTTGGATACACATACTTTCGTTGGACAGGGGCCGCAACTTCAGTTTGAGAGTTGAATCCCGAAAAACTCCTCGATCTCGGGCGTAACCCAGGTCCTTTAGGGAAGAAATTAGTTCGTGGAATGACACCTCCAGCAGCCTTTTGATCCGTAGCTGATACCACACCACCACCCCCTGACCCTCCTTGCCCTCCATCTCCAGAAACAGGAGGAGCTCCAGATGCGCCAGCTTGCGCAACAGCTGGAGCGTTCATCGGCCCATTGCTAGGAGCAGTCGCGGGTCTCCTCATACCCTGCATAGAAACTCCAGATGCGCCTGCTTGCGTAACAGCTGGAGCGTTCATCGGCCCATTGGTAGGAGCAGTTGCAGGTCTCCTCATACCCTGCATCACCCTCTGTCCTAACCCATTCGAAAGGAACTGCTGCTGCTGTTGCTGCTGTAGGGGCTGAGACTGAGGTTGAGGCGAAGGCGGTGGAGGCTCCACGCTCCATACAATCGGCACAGGCCCAATGGAGCTAGCGAGATCACCCTCCGTACGTCCATATATCGTCGGTCCCCTCATCACCAAACCCCCCTGCCCCTGTCGCCTGCCCAACGCAGGTACAGCAGGTCCCGGTCGCGGCATGGAGGACAAAGCCATCTTGATCACTCCAATAGACGTCGGTCTTACGGTACTCTGTACGCGAGTTTGCGGGACTTGTTGAGGTTGTTGAGCTGCGATGAACATTGGCCCTGAAGATGAAGCTTCAGGTGGTGGTTTAGGTGCGTTTGGGTGGGGGAGGAAGAGGGAGCGACGTTGATTCGTGCCTGGGATTTGAATCCCGCCTTCGCGTAGATCGCGAAGGGAGGGCTGGAGGTGAGATGGAGGGGAAGCAGCGGAGGGAGTGTTAGATGTTTGGGGTTGAGAAGCAGGGGTGGAAGCGGGTGAGGGAGATGGTGTTGGTTGTGATGTAGGTGGCTCGGAGGGGACTAATGGACTAGGGGGTTCGGGGTTTACGTCAAACGTGTCTTTACTCTCTTCTTCCTCTTCAACGTCCACCGGCTCGTGCTTCCGCTTCCCATCTTCTTCGACGAATGCAGGACTCGGCGTCCGATTTGCGATGATGAGCGGCGCCAACCTGCTCTGAAGCATCAAGTCCGGCTGAGGGCTCGAGCTGGGGCTGTCATGTACCACGCTACTGTCCCCCTCCAATATCTGCGACGGAAGCTCCTCATCGTCATCAAAAACGATCCTCCCTCCCATGCTCACTTCGCATAGACTCGGGAGCTGCTGGTCCTGCGGAAAAGATGAGGTAACGGGAGAAGTCAAAGGCGACCGACGCTCAGCATCTATCCTCTGCCTCATAGCGCTTGCCATGCCACCGGCTGTTGTAGGAGATCCAGGGATAGCGAGCCCCATTATCCCCAAACCACCAGCGTTCACCGTCCCAGGATGTGGAGTGTACAGTGCAGCAGAGGACGTTGCAGTGGTAGCCGTTACGCCTGAAGAACGCGAGGAGGAATTCCAGTTCGTATGCAGTAATGGGGAGTTTTCGGGTAGTGAGAGGTTGAGTGGCGCAGGTCTTTGATTGTGAGTTGGGGTAGGGGTCAACGAGGGTGAGGAGTTGTTGGTGGATGAAGAGACATTTGCGGGGATTTCCTTTGCTAGAGACGATGAACGGCTACCTTGAGTGTACACGGACGCCTGCGAGTCAACAGACGTCTTCCTATCCGCAATTGTTTCCCTGCCACGTTGCGAGTCGATACTGGGTCGAGAATCAATGCTGGGACGAGATTCTGGTATGGGGGGTCGCACGGCATCAAAGCCAGCAGAGGAGCGGTGCCCGTGCGAGGAAGAGAATCTAGACATCTTGCTGGCTATTGAGAACCTGGAATATCGGTAATCGTCGTAGATATCAGCTGCACCCTCCCATGAGCCTGTAGAGGCAGCTGAGGGTGCTAACGAAGGTCGCCGAACACTTGAGAACGTGGGTGATGTTGGAGAGATGGAGGAGAATGAAGGTGAAGAGGGCGATAATGAGGTAGGCGGCGCAGGGAATGAAGAGACCACTTCGTTGTGCGCCTCCTGATCATCGTCAGAGTCCTCATCGTCATCGTCTCTTGCGTAATTCAACCCTTCGACTGTCTCGTTCTCGCTGTCTGATTTCGAGTGTTGGTGTCGCCGTAGTTCGATGCTTGAGCTCCCACTGCTTCTCGACCACTTATCGTCCTCATCGTCATCACCATTGCCCTCCCTTAACCCATTCGCCAAATCCTGAAGAAGGGACAACCCAATCCCCACCTCCCCATCCGACAAGGCCAGAGACACGCGGTCAGATTCCTCACGCAACACTGAATAGGAGCTATCCGGGAAAGCAGATGACGACAAGGGAGACAACGGTTGGTGCGGAAGTTGGCTAGCTGGCGGAGATGAGGGGGGTGAAAGAGATTGATACAGAGGTCTGTTGGCCGGCGGTGATGATGGTGGCGACAGAGGGGATCGCTTGGTGATCCGTAGCGGTGTAATGTTGGCATCAGGTAGATTCAGCGGAACGGGGATTTTCTTGGGAGGGGAACTAATGGCTAATATTGGGGTTGCAGGGGTGTTTAAACCCGAGTCGGAAGCTGTTGACGACGAGAAGCTCATGCCGGAATTTCCCTCGTCCGTCGTACTTGAGGATTGTGCAATGGTTTTCAGTGCTGAACTTGATGACGAATCAGGAATGGTGAGAGTGTTCGAATGAGTTATTCTAAACGTGTCGTCTGTTGGCGGATTTCTGCTGTCATCAACGGGTGGTTGCCGGGTGCTAGCAGAGAAAGAGTCTGATGGAGAGTGACGTCGAGATGGGGAGTCGGGAGGAGACTTTAATCCCGTCGACGAAACGGGTGATTCCAAGGCAGAAGCCGATGTAAGTCTGTGACTACGCGCTACCGACCCCGAGTCAGATTTGCTGGCAGAATCACGCGTTGAATCGGAAATTGATTTCAATCCTGGGGTAGGAGATTTGCTGCTAGAGGCAGAGACCGATGCACGCTTGGTCATGACGGGTTTCTTGAGCTTGGACTGGAAATACACGTCATGCCCTTGAAATCGACCAACGACACCTTCACAATAACCCTCCGAAAAGATCTAAGTTATATTCACTTTTTAGTGCGGAGTTAACTCACTAGGTATGCATCTTCCTGGTCCGAAAATTGCAGAAGAACAGTGATTTCATCGTCCTATTCAAGCGCTATGAGAAACCTACACGAAACTGAGCAAGTGGCACTCACCTTGAGGAACATAAGATCATCTGAACTCTCTGCCACGCAATCCGCCGTCGCTATGCACTTCCCTATCCCTCCCTTCGCCGCGAACCGTGTCCACCTCGCCAGCTCAGCTGCTTCCATCCCCATATCCTCGTATTGAAGGTGATGAGGCGCCCTATGTTCCACTGATTTCCTGGGTTGCGCCTAGACCGTGATATGGTAAAAGAGAGCCGTTGTGCACGCGAAAAGCGAGGATTAGCGGGGTATAAGGATAAACCTGGGTATGTTTCGACGAGATCTGGGTGACCGTGAGTGGAAAAGGGAGTTGTCTGATCATTTTTCGAAGCTGATGGACAACATCCATCAATAGCACCTCGTGTCGAATTTCAGAGAAAAGTCGAGTAAAAAAAATGATCCATCTACACGATGGCTTCCGATGCGAAATCACCCGTCTCAAAGTCGAATAAAATTTGGTGGCCAAGCCAAGAAGTTCTCAAATTTCACCAAATAAAACGTCACTAAGTATGCGTATTCAAGTTGTGAGTTGGCCTCAATTTAGTCTTTCCGCTAAATGCTTTAAACGATACGAAGTAAGTATACATAGCACGACTGTGAGGGGAAGACGTCGGAGTTGTGATCAACGCGAACGTAGGGTAAGTAATTAGGAAAAACTTTCCATTTCAAATTTCAAGAACAAGGTATGTACATAAATTGAAAATCTGGGAACAAAGGGCATGTGCATTTGAAGAAGTGTAAAGAAACTTTTAAGCTGACTCTTCATAACCCTTCACAAGTGCCATAATCTGACTGTATGTGTCGCCGGTGTTGTCTATAACGTCCACTGGCTTAGCGTCGTTGCTTCTCTCTGCCTTCTGATCGTTCAACCACTCGACAAATTGGGTCCTTAAATTCCAAAGTCTGCGAAAATGCTTGGAGGCCACATACCTGTAGGCATGGGCAAGGAATGTGATTCGGATACCCCGAGATTTTGAAGGATTCTTCCAGAGTTCGAACAGATGCCACTGTCGGAGCAAAGGGTAACCGCGCAGGTTTGGAGGGCTGTCGTCCGTGTTCTCGCCTCGGAGGGATAAGCACATCCCCAGATCAGTGATTCGACATCGTGCCGATACATGCGTACGTTTCGACATGAGACCTCTTTAAGGGAGAGGAGGTCAAGAGCCATAAATGAAATGGTTCCGGTTTGTTGTCTGTCTCCAAATGACTCCCCATGATGTCGAACGAGATCGAAGTCGTTCAAAACGCCAACGCAATGAGATTTGTCCCACATCAGGTTCCAAAGGCTAATACGAAAAGAAGGGCAGCGAGGTAGGGTAGATCCTGTATGAAATTGATACCTGTGGTCTGAATTGCGCCTTGGCGGTCAAAGTACCAAATCCACGCAACGTCATCTGGTGGGAGATAATGAAACAAAACGTTGGACAGGTAAGGAAGTGGCTTACCTGCGATCAGGATGCTATGTGCATTCAGAGAATAGACTCCACGGTTAAACATCTCAGAAGCATAGAGCGCAGTTTGAGCAAAGGGCGTGATGTCCGCTCCTCTTATACGTTTTAATCTTTTTGAAGGAATCTCGTCCGTCCCCGACCGACGCCGTTTCAGTCCTGAGGGTGCGAACCCTTCTATATTCGAAAGGGATGCCGGATATTTTTAAAAAACGTCAGCAGTCAGCGATTTGGAGGTTACTGTTGTATTACCTTTGTGACCGCTGTCCTCATGTACCCCTTCTTTACCTTCTTCCTCAGATTCTTCGTCTTCTCCAGCTTCATCGTCTTTCCAGCCGCCCCATTCAGCAATTTCTTCGTCTTCTTCAAAACACTCATTCTCCAGATATTCTACCGAGGGTCGAGACTCTCCAGGATCTGGTATTGGTCTCGTCTTTATCGGGTTTTTTACGTCCTTAACCACAGGGATGTATAAAGACAAAGATGTGGAATAAGAAGCAGGAGGGGGCTCTAGCTTTTCCTTGTAGCACTTGGCTTCTACAGCAAGATTTATAATGGACCGGTGAAAAGGTTGGAAAGGGGCTTACGTCGGATCTAAGGGCAGTCCATTCTGTGATGCAACGATGGCATGTTTTCTAGCCAAGACGATGTCCATGTTCACGAGTTCTGGGTCATTGCAGTGGAACATGACGTCGGTGGGTGCTTTGAATTCACAGCCAGATGGCTGAACGGTCCTGAGCATGTGGTTGAACGCGTTGATTTTCGATTCGTAGCGGTCCACCTCGGAAGTCTGGTTGCAGCTGTACAATGCTTAGATTCGAGATAACAGTAAAATATCTGCCCGCTTACCAGTCCTCCATGAATGCCTTCGTCTCAGGTGAGTTACAAATTGGTAACACAGCGTCAAGACATCGCTCCAGAATTTCGGGTCCTTCGCGAGCACAAACCTTCCTCAGCGAGCATCTAAGGAAAGTTGGAAAATCCACTTTCTCGACGTGCATGATGGGAGTGAGTTCAATAGGGAATGTTTGAGATTGCTTCAGCTGTAACTTGTTTGGTTTTGAGACCACTACCGTGACCAAGCACATGACACCAGATTTAGGGGCGAGAGCTGACTAGTACTTAATATTCGGGTGATCAACGACGTTAAGCAAGGTCGCCAGGGCTGAATCAGCTGCGGAGCAGCTATCATAAGCCTATATCTGCAAAACAGCAGGGAGTCAGCCATATAAAATATAAACTTCGGATGTGAAATGTACATGGTGATCGTAATCTTGTTGTGGAAAGCGTTATTAATGCCCAAGGCAATCGTTTCAGAAATATTCATGTTCGTCCCCATTCTGTATATAAGTATAGCGCTATCTGAAGCGGAAAAGCGGACGTGATTTACGATTGTACAACGCACCATAGCCGCCCGATTGGAAAAAGCGCTGCGGCAAATTAAGACTTTGTGACAACTGTCATGTTGTGAGACCATTCCTAAACTAACAAGATTACGTGAAATTAGGGAAGGTTGAGAGAAGAGAAAAACGTACCAAAAACGTCTCTACGTAAGTCGTTATGTCCCAAATGTAAGTCCTGTACCCCAAACTTGAAGGGTGTAGTTGGGGTGTAGACATCGGGCTCGTTAATCATAAAGATTTGTTGACGGAAATGGAATAATAAAAAGTTCCTACCGACTCGGATTCGCTTGGATCTCGGGCAGGACAGATTTTTGGAGACATCTGTCGTCAGGGGGATAAGACAAAAAGAAAGTGTACTATTTGTACACGTTTATTTTACTGAACGCGCTTTGACTTTGACGACAACTCTTTCAAGAAACTTACCAATGCCCTACAGTGCAAATTTTGAACTGACAATGTCTGACCCACGCGCCGAATGACTCCCCGTTTCCCGCATCTAAAATCACCAATCTCTAACGCGAACGGGTTATCGGCTGCCCGGGACATCTCCATGATTTCCTCCACCGTACGTGTTGTGGAACGGAGGCTGCAAAGTATTGTAAAGCGAGTTTTCTCCCAATTACAGAATTCCGAGATGGCTTACTGTGACCTGGCAGGTTTCGTACCGCATATGTGTCATCGACGAGGTATCCTCAGCTCACCATACTTACTCTGGTACCAGGCTAGTGCGCGGTCACCATGGCGGCGAGGCAGAGCGGGTGGAGATGGCGCGCGTGGGGGGCAAATCAGTCGTTAAACTGCCAGTGGACCGAGGGAAAAGGTTAGTAAACGCCAGCATACATTTTCAACACCGCGTATCTTAATATCTGATTGAAGAACGCGCACATCAGAAAAACTACGACAGCTGGTGCGTAGCTGCGTTTTTAATCATCAGAACGTGATATCGATCGGGATCGTGGATGACGTGGCATAGTTCAACAGGCGAGCACCCATGAGCGGCGAACGGCGATTAGGACCACGCCGAGCATTGCTGAGTTCCATTGAGACGTTAAAGACAAGATGTTTGTGCAGGGGAAACGGCGAGGCCACGGTATGGGAGAGATAGGTGAGTAGGATTCGCGATATATATCTTTGAAACGTTGAACTTCCGGATTCCTTTTGCAAGGCTTTCGCCTTGCAATTTTTGGAGCGAATGCCGAAATCGGCACCTAGTCAGGTGGGTGATGCTTTGGTGGAGATCGTATGTGTTACTCTTGCATTCGTTGCGCGTTCGTTCGTACTTCTCCCTACATATGAAATCCATCTGATTTTCACCACTTCCACGTCCCAGGCGCTACCTAAACCTCCTTCGGTGGCGAAGTAACTCTTTTGCCTTGTACCCCAATCTCATGTCCAGATTACCAGATGGGCTTGAAATGGTAAGATGTTAATGGTTAAACTTCAGTCGAGTTATATCGCACACAAATCTCAACGAAAGTTCTTTCCGATTGGTTCTCTATCGCCTGACAGGATGCTTCAAGCTTGAAAGGTCAACGAATATCAAACAGAGAAGCTTTCGCTATCTCTCTTTCTCAAATGACTCCTTTCTCCGTGGCGGAGAATTGCAATCCTGTGGCTCCTCAGACACCCAGGTGATACAGTTTATTTTCGGATACATCCTCTCAAATTACACAGAACACCGCGGGCATCAAATAGACTACGCAAAAAACCTCCAGGTACAAGAAGAATACCCGGCCACAATAGCACTGCGGTGCTTGCGGGGTTCCTGCCTTCCATGCCAAGCCCCGTTGGAGTAGATAAGGTGGGATTCGGGACACACGCATTTCTCCGATCTAAGGGACAGAAATTTACTGTCGATACGTAAGACAGTGCACAAAAGTTTAAGTTCCCTCTTGACGACGATCAGCCATGGCCCCGTACTTTTTACGAAATCTACTTCCCCACAGAGAGCAGAGACAACAATCGAGTTTTGCCACTGTTCTAGGTGACTTGAAGTTTGTTCAGTGGGCTCAGTTATTCGTTGGGTACATCCCTTCGCTCTCTTCATCACAGGGGCTCATTTTCCCCGTTAGATGGCTTGCGTGGACATCCAATGCCGTCGACTTTTTCTCTGTGTCTCTATGCATGAATCAACTTAAAACTCAATTTAACAGGTCTACTCGTGGAATTGTGCGTTGTTTTGCACAATCTCCGAATACTGACGACAACGTTCCTCTCTTAGACGGCCGCGATTACACTCACACTTTTATTCCGATCGTTGGGCTCAGTAAGTTTAATCCCTTCTTCATCGTCAATCTTGACGATTTTCTAGATCGTATTCGGCATTCTTTCAGATCGCTATGGAAGGAAATGGCCCCTCGTTTGCAACCTCCTTCTCATCTCTTGCCTTGAATTTGGCGTGGGTTTTGCTCAAACATATAAGCAATTCCTCATACTCCGGTGCTTATTTGGTATCGGAATGGGCGGGACTTGGGGATTAGCAGTATCAACGGCGCTCGAAAGTCTCCCCATTGACGCTCGTGGTGTGGCCAGCGGTGTATTACAACAAGGCTACGCATGCGGATATCTCATCGCTGCTTTAATCAATTTATTCTTCGTGCCAGAAGCCAAGGAGGGATGGAGAGTCCTGTTTTGGACGGTTTCAGGCATATCATTCATCACCGCCTGCCTTCGCGCCCTTCTCCCCGAGAGCGAGTGGGTTTTGCGAACAAGGGCAATCAAGCGTTATGTTGGCACCATGCCTGGCACATCGACAAAGACGAAGAAGTTCATCAAGGACATGAGGAAGATGCTCGTAGAACACTGGGCATTATGTATATACGCCATTTTACTTATGACGGGTATTCGTCCATCTTTCACTAGTGTCGCAAACTTACGCTTAACCGCCGTATTCTGTTGCAGGGTTGAACTCTCTTGCTCATGGTTCTCAAGTGCGTGTTCCTGTCTTCCTGGCGCGTCTAATTTGACCTGTCCGTTGTTCCGCTACACAGGACTTGTATCCGACTTACCTTGAGATAACAAAGGGCTTCACAGCCCGTGATGCGACCATTGCTACTATCATTGGAAACTTGGTTGGTATCACGGCTACACTTCACGAACTGTATGTACTCAGGCGGGCTGACTTCCCGCATGTTCAGGGTTCTATTTCGTGCGTGTAACAAGACATAGAATCGAAGCCTAGAGGAACCAATATGTCCACAGGGGCGGTATAACCGCAGGAATACTCAGTCAGCGAATCGGCCGTCGCTTAACGATGATGTAAGCACCAAGTTACCTACCCGTTACTGAACTTGAGTTAGCACAGTCTGATGGTCTTACTTGCCGGAGGTGATTTGTTCGGGTGTCTCGTTTCGAGCGAGATCTCACTTTACTCATCGACTCAGCATTCACCCCTCTCTGGATTTTGCCACACACTTTTGCGAAGCTTTCAGCTGGCGCTTTCTGCGTTCAATTCGGGATTCAGGGTGCATGGGGTGTAGTGAGTTTGAAACATCTGTCGACGTTGCATTAGTTTCAGAGTATCGTAGATCCCTATTCAGCTCGCAGAGATGTCACCGCCCGCCTTTCGCGTAACCTTCTCTGGAGTCGCATATCAGTTTGGAAGCGTGAGTTTTATACATCTCGGGAGACTGTTTATCTCAAATGACTTGTGTCAATAGATGATCTCCGCCGCCTCGGCTCAAATTGAAACTGGTATGTTGTTACATTCGGGTTCCGAATGACATAATTATCGTGGTAGTTGGGGGCCAACGCTGGAAAACTACCGTCGTAAAGGATGGTCAAACGACAATCGTGCCGGATTATGCCAAGGTACGAGCTTTTCCGTGACGAACCTTGTGCTCTATTTATTTAGGCCTGCGGCATTGCAGGTACAAGGGTTATTTATCGGTATCGTCGCCGCCTTCGTTGTTTTTATTACTGTTGTCGGGCCAGAGTACGCCTAAATCGATTGCTTTCTCTATTCATTCATTTACGTTTCTACAGGAGACATGGGTCGAGCTTCGAGGGATCAAACAGTTTCAGAAGATCATTCGACAAAGATAATATAGGGGACAAAATTTTGACTTCTGTTCCAAGGCACGTAATCGGGTTCAACCGTCACGATGGCATTGAGCTGGAGAAGGCGAGCATGGAGCATATTGGATAATCTGAAATGTGATTCCCTTGTTCAAATAAGTAAATGTACCAGTATTTAGGGTGACAGAACTCGTATGGGACCTCCCACAGTCCCCCTCAGTAAAAACGAAAAGTCTGGTTAAGTCGTGGGTAGGACAGTGAAAAGTCGAAGCAGTCATGTCAGAGTCACACAGTCCTCAGGATCATGCGAGGAAGCCATGGTCTTAATTTGATAGAATGCGAGGGCCTCCCCAAAGGTAACATTAAAATCAGAGGCTGACCTAGGAAGGTCCGTCGTGTTGTTAGATCGGGGTAAATTGCCTATGACCCTCAACGTATCATCGCGTCTCAATCCACGATCATTGCGTTAAAGTTGTTCCAGTAACAAATTACTGAACATCGCTTGTCATCGTGGGGTTAGGTACGCATCCGTGTTGCTTGTGGAATGGGGACTGTGAACTTCGACATAAATAAGGTGAGTTGCTTGTGAAGTAAATGCGAGAAATAGATTGACGTCGACCTTTGGTCGACCTACTCCGACTGGTGAAAGTTTGCTGAGTCATCATCGGACCGGAAATGATGTCAGGTGTCCGTTCCGATTCGTCCTCAACACCGACGACGACGACCACAGCCATGTCCGAGCACCTCGTCCACCCAAACGCTGAGCTCCTTGAGTCGGCCACCAAAGGCTTTGACTTACTCTTCTCAAACAACATCGTCGGTGCCCGACAGCACTTTGCGGGAAAGGAGGACCCGTTTCACATCCTTGGCCAGGGCGTATGCGCGTTTCTTGAGGCTGCTTTGGGTATGGAGGTGAGCGGGAGTTTATGCGAGGTGTTTGATGGTCTGAACGTGATCTATTCCATATATACAATAGTCGGGCCTGATGGCAGAAGCATCTCGCATGCTGGCCTTGTCTGAAGCTGGCACGCGGAAGCAGATGAAGGCACCAAAGAAAAAGTACAACACGCGGTTCCCTCAGGGATTGGAGTGGGAGATTCTTAATGCGGATGCGGTTGTGTTGTTGGGGATGACCCATGCTTTGAGGTGCGTGAAGGGAACTGTTTTGAAATCTCTACCCGCCCGAACGAAGTCGCAAGTGAATCGTACATGGGCTACCTCCAATGCATGTATTCCTTGAACAGGTATATCCAAGTTCTTCTTCCGTCAATCTACTGTCTGACTCTTTGAAGTGCCCATTCCAAATTTTCAAAGCGAGTTCTAAATTTGCAAACTGGACCCGTCTAACGTTCCTTGTAGATTATACAAAACCGTTTTCCCCAACGGATTACACGACGAATCACAGCTCCCCTTCTCCCTCACCCTCACCAAAACCATTACCCAAGCAACGGCCATATCTCACCTTCATCCCATCCCACACATCACCTCATCCGTCGTAGAAGTCTCCTCTTCCTCCTACGCCACCCTTCCCGCAGCCGTTCCAAGCCTCTTCGGCAGGTGGACTGGCTCGACGAACGTAGCCTCCACACCCAACATCGCCGTTCACCATCACCATCACCACCCAGAGCTTCCCACCATTCCTGACGGTCCGGTTGAAGAACTCATCGTGGCAGGCACGGCGTTCGGTTTTGGGTTGTTCAACCTCGTCTTTTCGCTTCTTCCAAAAAAGGTCCAAGGACTCGTCGGCTTTCTTGGGTTCAAGCACGATCGAAAGTTGGCGTTGCGCGCATTGTCGGTCGCGGCGTCGAAAAAGGATGTTCATGGTGTGTTTGCGGGGTGCGAAACTTCTCCATGTCTTTCGCGTATATTCTGACGCTTGCTTAGGCTGGTCCTTATGACGTATCATGGCGGGGTGCTTCTTCTATCAGGGTATCAAGCGGACGAGGCGAGAATCCTGAAGGAGTACAAAGCTATCGTCGACGAGTGAGTATTCTCTTCGTATCGCTCAAGCCTGGTCATGATCTTGAATAGTGTCGAATCACGCTATCCCGACGGAGCTCTGTGGATCCTCAATCGCGTTTGTCGTCTCACTCATTGTTACACTTAATTAATACATCGACAGGCAAAGATCTTGCGTATGTCAAACGATGCGGAGGGCGCGATCGACATTCTTCAAAAAGCAATGAGGCCAGAGAGGCCACATCATTTCGTGCAAGCGGATATGGTTGTGAGTAATCACTTTTTTTCATCTTCTGCCTTGCAGGTGCTGACGCGTGTTAGCTTGTATTCGAATTGGCCTGGGTCCTTCTCAGCCAAAGAAGATACCAAGAAGCAGCGGATACATTCATCAAAATTACAGAGCTGAACAGCTGGTTCGTTGTTTTCCCCCCTCTCTTCGGCTCCTCCTTACTTTTGCGAGGGTAGGAGTCATGGAACGTATTATTTCATTGCTGCAGGTTCGTTCATGACCAATCTCACCATCTCCAGGTGCTGAACTGTTGTAGGCTGTCATGTCTTCCTCGGAAACATCGAGAAAGCCCAGGCTATGTTTGACAAAATCCCGGACTTGATCGATAAGAAGAAAATAAGCGGAAAGGATTTGCCGACCGAGGTGTATATCAAGAAAAAGCGTAAGTACTCTGCTTGTGATTTTATTACCAGCTGATGGTCATGTTTAAAGTTGCCTTTTACAAGGAGAAGCAAGTCAGAAGGGGCGGGGACGTGGAGAAATTTGCGGAAGCGATGAAAATCAATCCAGCTGAGGGTACGTCCTACTCCCTACATTATTGCACATCACTGATCATGACGAACAGAAATTGCCATTTGTACAGTTCTGTTTCTGTCGCGGAAAGTGTAAAACTAATTCAACACCGTAGTTTGGAACACGCACACCCGAATCTCAGCCACCATCGCCGAAACGCACATCATGGAATGGGCGTCGCTTTCACCTCCCGTATCCATCCCTTCCCCACTCATCACGCCTCCCACTACCATGAGTGCCCCACCATCTCCCACCTCACCTTCGTCCATCAAGTCACACAAGTCAAAGTTCTCGCTTAAATCAAAACCCAGCACACCCATCTCACCCCTGTCTAATCCGGATCCGCACTTCCATTATGACTTGGACACCCACGACGAACTCGCAGTGCGCTCCCTCCTCCTGGGCATCAATCATCGCACAGCCGGATACTTCGTCCCTGCTCGTGCGTTCCTGGAAGACGCGCATTCGAGACATGCCCACATCAAGATCAATACCTGGGTAGGAGGCGTAGCAGTGTTCGAGCTTGCTGTTCTCGATCTGAAAGAGGTTGAGGCGAGGGATAGAGCAGAGAGTGTGGGTTATTCTCCATCCTCTTCGGTCGCTTCGTCCACGACATCGTTGCCCCGTGTGGAGGGGGAGGGGATGGCTGTTGGAAGGCGGGAGGAGTGGGAAATTGCGCTCAAGAACGCTAGTGCGAAGTTGGACGTGGCGTTGACCCTTTCGCCGAATACCGTGGATTTGTCGTCGAGGTTGGATAGTAGGATTGCGATGTTGAGAGACGAGATTGCGTTGAAGAGGGAGTGGTTGTCTTTGGTTGCGTAGAGGGGCGGTGTGTTCTCAAGTTGTATGAACCTAGATAGACAAAAGTGGCAGGGGTTGAGATGTTCCGTCAGAAATGCCGAAAGTGAATTTTACTGCCATCAGACATCTGGGGCATCTCACGACACCGGAGAAGAGAGAACGATTCCGTAACGCAGTACACAGGTATCGTATCTCTACCATGACTGCTGCTACATGACGATACCAAGACGATACTTATCAACGCTTTTAGGTCACGTGTGCAGAGCAACAAGGAAAATTTCAAGAAATTTTACCGTGGACGACTAGCTTGTTCACCCACTCCAAGACGCGTCAAAATCGTTGTCAGTACCAAGTGCACCTTAGAATCTCCCAATAACTGACCACCAACCTTTAAAAGTCTGCCCAGAAACTCGGATGTTGCCCGCAGGAGGCGGTTACACGCCAACAATCGCGTCACTACCAGCGGAGTTACTCCTGATCATCTTCAAGGCCGTCTACATCACAACAAGGCGGTGTGTGACGATATTCGATCCACACACCTTGTGCGAGGGCCCTTGCGACTGCGAGCTTGACTCGAACGAGGGAACCCTCACAGAATGGAACGATCACGACCATTTGACATCTCTTTCTGTCTTCCCCTACGCGCTCACATCCGTTTGCAAGCAATGGTACGACCTCATGCTCCTCGTCCCCGAATTTTGGACGCGCCTCGTTATATTTGTGGATTCCCAGCCTACTTCTACCACAGATTTGCGTGCCCAGCTTTCCGCTTCGCGCGACCAGGTTTTTTGGGCTCACATCATCAACCGACAGGACGGTATTGGTGAGGATTTTATGGAGAGAGCTCGGGTACAGGCCGTGGTTGAGGCGTTATCCCCACATCTCGATCGGTGCGAGCGGTTGACGTTTAACGTTATGCACAACTCGTCTATCCCCTCCATCCGTCGCAACTTCAGCGGAGTCTGCCCGTTTTTGACGGAGCTATTGATAGAATGCAAGATACATGATTCCAAGCCAAAAGAAGTCGGAGAGATCGAAGTGAAAGCACCCCCTCTCTTCCCCAACCTTGAGCGCATTGCCTTGACAGGATCCGCATTCGCCGACGCCTACGAAAATCCAAGCTGGCTTAGTGGAATAGAGACGAAGAGGCTGGCGATGTACAAAATCTCCCACTTGTCTTCCATCGACGTCCCTGATCTCACCTTTTTCAACTTTCTCTCTGTTCTGGGAAGGTTCAAAGGCAGCATGATCAGCCTCGAATTGTACCATGTCGACCTCCCTACCCTTCCACTGGATGGGAATATACCTAACGATTGGGATTTTCGACTCGACTTCAGTAGCCTCCATCTCGAGGGTCTGAAAAAGGAGACATTTGAAGAATTCGGCCACTTCACAAGCAATTCGCCGACCCTGGAGTCACAAACAATCCGAGCCTGTGAGCTCACAGATTACGGCATTTGCCATTCATACTACCTCGACGTGCAAGATATCAACGACACCGAACAGTTACTGTCTGTCGTCCCCACACTCTCTAGCCGCTGCGTCAATTTCATATCTTGCGGAGGCCTCAACGACGCTGTTTTGGAGCGTCTTTCAATGCCAGACCCTTACTCGGGCGAGTGGGGCCTTGAAAATTTGCAAGATCTCAGTATTTTTAATAGCCCCGAGATTTCTGTTCAGGGGCTGAAGCGCTTGGTAAAGAGCCGAATCGTTGAAGCGTCAGCGCGTGGATACGGAAAGGATCCAAGCTACGACGACTTTGATCAAATGGCGCCTATCGCCTCCCTGTCCATCTCCCGCTGCGTTGATTTCTCAGCGGTAGACGTTCGATGGTTCAAGTCAAAAGTGAGAGACTTTTCATTTCATTCATAATATATGTAAGTGAAGTTTGCATTCCCTATCATAATTGAAACTACTCTGATGTCCATCACAGGTCCACGATAGTGCGGCTGATGTATAGTAGGACGTTAATGCATAATGACTCTGACTCAAAGCCCTATCGTAATTAGTCACTTTTTTTGACAAACTTACAAAGATATGGCCGCCTATTTACATTATTCGAACATAGGGGGCGCCAGTGAGAAGATAATGTAAATAGATGCCTCGGCGGAACCCTTGGACTGGGGATTGCTCAGGGAGTTGCTCAACGCTGGGAGATGCTTATTTACGTGCGCGTTGCCACCCTCAACGCGAGCATCCCAGCCGTTGGTTTCTCAACCCTACCATCCAGTCTTCAAGTAAGGCCTTGGTAGCTCACAAGGATTTGTCGTAAGTAAAGAACATTTAACAAAAAAAAAAAAACACAAAAAAAAAAAAGCGTACGAAAACGAAACCCCGGACCAAGCTCCTTCAACGTGAAGTTTTCTCATCAACGCGCTTGTGTGTACGTTGGAATGAACTGTGAAAATACTCTTAATGTCCCTAAAAAATAAAAGAAAAGACTTCTTGGTCTAAAAAAAATAATAAAATTCAAAACACGTGAAGAAAACCGAAAAAGCGAAGTGCCATGAATGCGTCATTTGGCACTTCCACAAAGGGATGAAGGAGTTGAAACTTGAAAGTTAGGGTTAGGGTTCTAACTTCTGAGCATCAGATCTCCACAACTCGAACTTCTGATAAATGGCATTCCAAGTCCCGCGCAAAGCGATTCTAACGAAGGAACAGCTCGAATTATTTCAAACCTCGAAGACACATCAAGAACTCGTCTCATATATCGAGGTCCTCAACGACGCAGTCGTCGGCGTCAGGCTCACCAGCGAATGTTCGTTGTCTACTGGTGCAGCTGCTGTTCTCGTCCTTTTGGACAGTGTTGAGCGAGTGGCGAGGGATACGCCTCCCGTGGAGAACTCCGCGTCGAGATTTGGGAATCCGGCTTTTCGGACATTTTATGATTGTGTCTCCGAGGTGCGTTTGTGTATCCTGGAGTTGGATTGAAGTAATTGCTAACCATCGTTCATAGATTTCACCGGAGTTACACGCATCTCTCCCTGGCTTGCCAAGTGAAGCTATCGAGGAATTGTCGGTCTATTTCAGCGAGGCATGGGGCAATCGCACGCGCATCGATTACGGGAGTGGGATGGAGCTCAATTTCCTCTGCTGGCTGTAAGTTCGGATTTCTTCCCTCTTTTTGATCGCTCAACGTGTCGTATACTTAGCTTATGTCTAGAACGGCTACAGGTATTACAAGAAACGGACCATAAAGCAATCGTTATTCGTTTATTCTGGCGGTAACTCACCTTTATCATCTTTCAGTCCCAACCAGACTGACCCGTTAGCAGATACATAAACATCATGCGGATACTCCAATCGACCTACTGGCTAGAACCGGCCGGATCGCATGGCGTCTGGGGGCTGGACGACTACCATTTTCTCCCATTTCTCTTCGGTTCCGCTCAACTACGAGGTGGGCAACGTCATCGCACTCTTCCGAACCCCAAAGCTGATCCGTGGCACATCAGGGCATAAGTACATCCGTCCCAAGGCGATACATGACCCTGAGATAGTCGAGGAATACTCAAAAGACTACATGTATTTCGCTTGTATCGCTTTCATCAATTCGGTGCGTCTTTCCCCCCTCGTCATTGTTCGCTGTTGACGTTGACGCATTCTCACTCACACAGATAAAGACAGCCTCCCTCCGATGGCATTCCCCCATGCTCAACGACATATCAGCCGTAAGCTTCCTCTCCTTTCACCTCTTTTCTTTTGGTCATTTCCTCCTTGTTTCGCAGGTAAAAACATGGGATAAAGTCAACTCAGGAATGCTCAAGATGTACCTTGCCGAGTCCTCAACAAGCTCCCAGTAATACAACACTTCCTCTTCGGCTCGTTCCTCCCTTACGACGGGCCTCTACCGCCTCCGCCTCCGCCTGCTACATCTCTTTCATCCACGTCCACAAAACCCGTGATATCACCGACAGTACATGGGGACCACGTGCACGCACACGACGACCTTGGAGGGGCAGGCCAGAAGGACGTTGGTTGGGGTGACTGCTGCGGGATCCCCGTGCCGTCTGTGTTTGCTGCGGCTAGGGCGGAGGCGGAGAAGAAGCATGGGTTCAAGTTGGGCGAGGCGGGGGTGCCGGGTGTGAGGCCCGTTCTATTTGATTAGTCGACGATGGGATGATCAGGATTATGGTGCGACAGACAATTACGGACCACATATGCTTGCTTTTATAATTAGTAGTATCTGTAAAGTATGGGTTAGTTTATATGATCTCTCAGAATTGAAAGTTGAGTATCTAGAATGGAATATATATGCAATAGGATGTCCCATGCCAAATTTGAGCTTGTTTGGCGGTCCCGTTGTGGAGATACAGAACTGCGTCGGGCAGGAGGAGGCATAGTCACATTATATTCCAAAGATATCCAGATACCCTGAAACATTTTTTGTACATTCCATTGAACTATATTGGACTGGTAAAGGTGTTACCTTGGTCATTGGTTCATCCCTGAATATCTTTGGCTTGGGTGTCTGTGTCGTATACGTGAATTATATTCACTGGGCCATCTTTGGTTCTGGGGAGACCTGGAA